AAAAATATTAAATTCACATAAAAATGTGATTTTTTTTTCAATAAAATGAAATGCTTCGTGATTATCTTCTCATTTTGTACAGATTCAACAAAAACACACAAGTCTATGGAACTTTTTCAATACAAATTTAGAATAAGAAGATAGAGTGCATTATATATCAGTTTCGTCCATTTAGGACTTATCAGTGATGACTGGGGACTACATTTTCAAATCTAGGAGGAGACAATGGAAAAACCTAAAATGGTCGAAAGAAAAGTCAGCATCTAAAACAGGGGTTGTAGTGCACCAGTTCCAAAATCCAGCAAACTTTCATCATTTTCATATAGTACAATATTAAATGCGTATCAATTTCAACGTATGCAGGTTATAGCAAACCGTGAGGACATAAGTCCACCAGCAGGGACTAATACCTGCAATTTCGAAGATTGCAGTCCTTCCCAAAAGTAAAAAATATCACCTTTCAATACAAATTTTAGAATGATGGTTTTCTATGAGAATGCAGCAATGTGGGGGAGTTGAGTGCGGAGGATCTAGAACAAATAGAGTGTATGTATATCGTATGTAAAACCACGTTAACAGATCTTCTATCTCCAAAGTAAGTACAAATATTTAAATGATTATAAATAACTGATATGAGGTTCTGCGTAGGCTAAGAAAATTGTCGAAATGGGTGTGTTTTAATTCGAATAATAGAAGTTATTTCGTCATTCATAAATTTCGAAATCGACCATTGAAATGAATCCCTACATTACAAACGCCCTCATGTAACATATCAAAGAAATAGCACATTCGTGTGATTCCTTACACCCACACTGATAGTCTCTAGCACTCACGTCGGGGGACAAAATTACATAACACCCAAAGCCTGTACTTTACATGGTATACGCCCTAAAGCAAACGATGCACATAGAATTATAGTTTGGACACAAGGACATTTAGAATATTCATTGCGTAGGTATTGTTATATGATGTTGACGTTTAATTATGTAAACAAAGTATTTAAACTCGAAGAGAAAGAGGCGTTGACTGTTACCCATGACATCAAACTGATAATTAGATAAATACACAAAAACAAACTACTTCAATATCTACGGACAGGAAATCTGAATACGAGACAACATACGTCATCGCGACGATATCTGTTTACTACAGACAATTTACTATGCCCCAAATTTCATTCATAAATCTCTCAGTGACGTCAACCTACGCAAATGACCTACTTCCCTACCATCATAGATACAACCAGTGTTTACTCGAGCGAAGTCTCGTCTATTCGGGACTCACTGTTGTCTGGAAGTTACGCCGAGGTTATCCGAACAACTACAAATGCCGGATCAATCTAGTTCATGTCTTGTTTATTTACTCGATATCAGACAAAATGATTCCGGTCAAGTGAAGTCAGAATAACAAGGCATTAGCGTCAAGGTCTGGATCAACCCATGAAAACAGGTGCGATATTTCGTAATACCTAAAGCCGAATATTAATCACAAAAGTATTACGCAATCTGATCACACCTTACGATCTAAGTAGTTCATTCTTAGTTTTCAGCGATAAAAATATTTCATAACTACTCTTCGGAAATACCTGCTAGATATTTGCATACACTGTTAACATGCTTAAATGGTGTTGAATAGAATAAGAAATAACATATCACAAACTGTAAACATGCAGTAACTGGTATCTTTAACATTGTATACATGTGCATATGGCAATATTTCTTTCAATCAAAATTTCTTTTAATTTGCTCTCAGTCTCATTTCCTGTCAATTCACACTGATACGATGGGTGTTACGAGAGATGAAATCACTACACCTGTGTATAGAGACAGATTAAGAAACATGGAGAAAAATATTGATGCATGGAAATACTATAAAGCCGCAGAAATCACTGATTCGGATTTTTTTTAGACTAAAGTGAGCTACATTACTGAATGTTATTACAAAAAAAAATTCACACGGATTTCGTTCAGAAAATCAAACTTATGAGAAAAAAAATCGTTTTATGATAAAGACTGCGGGTCACTACATCAAATACCTCGACATCGGTTACAAATTTAAATAATACTAACAGAGAGGTCTATTTCCCGAACCAAAGCTTCGGCCTGACCTGATTGGTCAGATAGGAAGCCTCCATCGGGAAATAAAATCGAAGCACAACAACAAGATGTAAGTCCCATATTTGGGATCTTTTTGTTTCAGTTGATAACAAATCACATATATAACCATATTCTATCAGAGAGTAAGTTATATATTCATTTTCTTTTAAATCTATGAAAAATACATACTAAGGTAAACATTTGTGTAATAGGGTTAAGTATTGTTAATTTAGTGTGTATATTGATTAAACTTCTACTCCTCAGTCCGTGGAGGTTGCCTCGTTGTTACCTCCATATGACGTAGCGATCTCTGCTATTCAGTGCACCTGTACTGAGCCGTCTTATCCTAAGCGGACGTCCCGCAAGTAGTATACTTTTAAGGTTCTTACTGACTTTGTGGTGTTGCGTTCTTTATACTCCTGTTCAGCTTACAATAAGTTACTTATTTCACAATCATCATTTTAAAATCGTGATGACTATTATTAGCATCGACAAAACTTGTTTATGGTTTTGGTGTTGAATATCCATCTCATAATCAAAGGGAATCTAATTATTTGAATTCCTTTCAAGGAATCGTGATTTTAAGTCCGTTAAACCATTTACAGAGGTGCAGGTCACTGTACGTACACACGATCAGTCAGGTGTCTGGGACGTTATGAGTCATATTGAGGCAAGAATCAGATCGTGAAGAAATTCAAAACATAACTCATTTAGTTTAAAATTTTATTACATATATCTGAAATAAAAGAGTGTAATTATCATATGAACATTAAACATATCATGCTAATTATTCGCCATTTTTCAGTTAATTTTATTTGTACTGTAAAGATGTACAATATTGTATAATTTATTAAACCTATATAAGAATAAATTCTGACAAAGTCATATCGATACATAAATCATATTCATACTTTCTTACACATTTGTGTAAGTGTGTGTGTGTGTGTGGGTGGGTGGGTGAAACAGAGCTTATGCATTTAGCGATATGGGCTCACTGGATAGAGACCAACCACTTTCATTTTCACATACAAACCAGGAAAGAACAACACTAACTATCACCATGTACAATTTCAAGATTAACTTTGGCCTATCAAATTATTCCCTTTTTTCATAAAAGACAATTAATACTGCTTTTGTCAGAATATCATAATATCCTAATAATTGAATATATACTGATCTATGTGAAATTCAAAATAAAACTCAAAGACGACAACACGAGAAATATCAACAGACCTTTTCAAACTAGCTTTATGTCTATGTAGATACATAACATTCGAATTCCATAGAACAGAATACATACATAGCAGCTGTACTAATACATTCTACGCATTTTAATTTCTTGTTCATATATCTTGAGAACTCGACATTTAAATAGTTAATTTTTTAACCTATGATTTTTAATATGTCGTTATATGTTTTAAAAACACAAAGTTTGATTTACAATTCAAAGAATAATAGTGAAATAAAGAAAGTAGTCGCTCGGGACAAAATATCATATAGGATGCCTAGAAGATTATATATTTGTAATAAAAATGAGATAAATATTACCGATAAATCTATTGCACCGCAGAGACGTCTTAACTTGCCCTGTTTACCCCTATTTTGTTCGTTTTTTTGTTTTTGTTTTTGTTTTTTATAAAATGTACATAAAATAATATATAATAATTGATGAGATTAGTTATGGTAACCATTTCATGTTCTTCACATTAATAGTTAATAAAGTATCTATGGTATATTTCTATGTATTTATTTAACATCTAGTAAAATTAAAGAGTGCCCGCAATGTATTCATACCGGTTTCGTGTTCGGAGCAACACTGAGATGTTAACCTTTTTTTTTTAACAAAATATAGGTCATTATTCTAGTATTCTTGTTTTATATATAAGCCGTTTTACAGCGAAACTAAACAAAAAACAGATCAGTTTGGTATTCATATGCATATAATTATCTGCATGATTTTAACAATTTTACGTTTGTCCCGTTATACTGGTTACGTAAAGTATCATTTTACTTCACATCTCGGTTCTTACGGAACAGTAATATTGCACATATAAACTAACCTATACAGTCTTTTGAACAGTCTTGTAAAAAACATTAAATGATTTGAAAAAGAATAACCACATGTTCCTAACTTGAATAATTCTATGGAGGAAAATATTGCAAAACTTACATAGTTCTTAATATCTACATCTAATATATCAACACAGATGATTTAACGATAAAAAATACTTGCCCTATAATAATTTGGAATATTTAATTCTGGAAATATACATAAAATACATAGCAATGATTAATCCTAGACTAGACTACGAATATAAAAAATGTAACGTACAAAAATCGTAAGGATAACATCTCTTATTTCCTACAGCAACTACAGTTAAGGTTATCAATAATCAACAAAATGCCCACATATATGTTAAAGACAATATCAACTTCTAATCGTTAACAAAATCGTTTCGGACATGAATCCAGTAATGTAGCTTTTCTTTTGAATTATTAACAAAAAACTATTATTTCGAGTCGACACTTGTAACGTATACGATATACCGTTTGTCGCCTTAAAAAGACCCAATTGTCATATGAATCTTTCCAAAACGAACTTATCTCTATCAGAAAAAAATATTTGAAAATATTTGATTTGTTTGTAATCAACGCTACACTTTCATAATAGAGAGACCATTTCTTTCAAAAGAGGAAAATAAGTAATATAACATTCCATTGCACAAATAATGCTTTTCTTCGGCTACTTCTGCATTTCTGAGTGAAAAACTAGACAACATAAAAAAATGAAAAAACGAAGGAAACTTATTTGATTTTTAACAACGTTAACTTTGTTAAACGGTTCAAAATAAGACAAAATGAGATTTTAAAATATATATTAAATAAGATATAGTTATACAGGAACGGGAAACAGACTTAGATCTCAAAATTAAACCGTGTTATTAATTAATAACATAACAAATAAAAATTTTAAAACAATACAGCCAATAGCCATGAAAACAAATAAAAATACTGACCACACTTTAAATAATTCCTCATAAATATTGAAAGATTGAATATTAATTTAAATATAACGTTTTTTTCATTGCCATCCACAAATATTTCATTAATGGTAGGATTTAACATCACGTTAAGTAAGGTGCGAACAGAGTGTTTTACCTTTAAAGGACAAATTCTGTTAAATTTATCACTCTTCAACATGACATTATCTTTAGAAATTAAAGTCATCCAGAATAGTAGGTAAAATGCTGTCATTCGGTACATCCGAGCTATCACTGCTGTGATCGTGTTTCTTCATTTCACGACCTTCGTCCGTGTTTGTGGAGGTGAAATTAACCATGGAAAAATTGGATGACGTCACAGGTAGATATGTGTCGGACATTTTCGGTTCAACGGATGTCAAGACTATCGGATACTGCTTATTAGAGATGTCTCCAGTAGCAAGCATAGAGGTAAGAGACTCTTGTATTTCGAATGATTCTGGATTCCAGGCTGAAACTGCAATGTTAGTTTGATGTATTTTTGGACTATCCACTTTTGGTACGATTTGACAAGGCGAATCTGTTCCTCTATTTTCTGGAATTGTATGGAGAATTTCGTCGTTTAGAAACATTGTCCGAAAATCGCCCCCAACAGTCATTTCTACCGAATCTTTTCTCTGTGGTACTGGTTTTTGAAGTACGTTATATTCTAAGGACCTTTTTCTCTGGTTGTACTCATACACAAAGTCTCTGCCTGTCTGTGATGTAAATATCGATCGATTAGCTGACGTCATCGGTGACGATATGGACGGCGCGTTTTGTGACGACACTGGATTTTGAACAGGATTATCCCGTTGCACCACATGGAAGGCGCCATGATCTGAATGTCTCCTCGTCAAATTAACATCGGGATTTCTGCCATGAGTGTCCATAATGTTAGCACTAAAACTCTCGACAGGAGATATTGCATCGAATTTTGGCAATCCTGGATGCAAAGCAAATGATGGTCTTTTACTAGTTAAAGAATGCATCGACGACCTTTGACCAGTAAATGACGACGTACTTGTTGCAGAGGGAGCTGTATTCCCAATTTGACTTCCTGGTATTACCAGAACCGGACTCTCTCTTCTCCAAGGACTGAACATATTCCCTCCGCTGGTATTACCGAGGGTTGGGATCATACTTCCGGAGATAGATACATTCTGATAGGCATTTATATCTACGGGATTAGTATAGGTACAGTCTCCGAATCCAGTGGCCCCTCGTGGTGATCCCTGATTGTTGTCTGGGGACCCATTGCTGTACGCTGATGATGTACTACTTCCCGGTGGAGAGTCCCGATCTTCCGAACTGGAACCGCTCCGCCTTTGTTCCCGTTTTTCCTTGCTCTCGGCTAGTTTTTCTACCAAATTTTCTGGTATCTTTCCGCTGTCCAGTTGAATGCACCACTGCTTACACTATGTAAAATGACAATATATTAAGTTAATTGTTCATTTCTTAAGAGATTCCATATTTTACTTCTTAAACTTCATATTGCTCTGTAATTTCAAGAGCTAAAGTTATTAGTGTATCAATAAAGAAAGATATCTTAGAATTGGCACAATATTTCAATTTTAGAGCATATTCAGAAACAAATTCTATGAAAACTTCAATAATGCGATTTTTTCAAACTATAAATAAATGATATTACATGTTTGTATAAGATAATTATACATCATGAACTTTCACCAAAACAAAGTAACTGTAAAATTTATTTCCATACCGTTTGAAAATCATCGCGTTTAAATGACTTGTCTATACTTCCATCTTAATCCTTGTCAATGTTTCATTTAAGAGAAAAAAATACAAGTATGGCCCCTTACCGAATTTACCATATGTAACATACATAGTTGTCAAGTTCCAGTGTACTTGACTGACTTTTTATTTTACCTCTGTGACGTATTTCCTCAATGGTCAAAAGTTTCCTGTCGTGTCAGTTTCCAGGTCTTCGTTTGTACTTATGTATGTATGACGTCAGTAGGGGATGTTTGTATATAAATTATCAAATGATTGCTCTCTTATTAAGATTGGTTAAAGTTATATACGTAAATAAACACAATATTGATTTACTTTGATAATACAAAGTCCATTAACGTTGTTCTAATATGATCTACTGTGCCGATTGTTGTCGGTTTACTTATAAGCTAAAGTTTTTTTTTATTAAATGTACATTTTACATCAGTAAACAACAACAACACAAAGCCAACAGAACCTTTTTCATTATTAGATTAAAATGTCATTTTCGCGGCGATATTTCTGATATCTTTATTAGTATGATTTCTGTGATGGAAATGTTAACCTATAAATTTATTTAAAGTGTGATTTCAGATATGAAATTCCAATATTACATAGGTTATTCAAAGACATTTTTATAAAAGGTATGTCACGACATAGGTCATAAAGGTGACACACGTTTTTCTGTTCCATCTCCAATCATATAGGTCCTCAAATTTATTATCTGTTTTCTTAGAAAACATTTTCATCATCCGAGGAAGTAAATTTTGTGTGTTGAATTCAATGCTTTAAATACCAACCTTCTAACTGTTTACAATACTTCAGGGAAATTTATACCAGTACGGACTGACACGGACGCAATATTCACACAAACAACATTTCGTTCTATGAACTGAATCTGCCTTGATAACGAAAGCAATAAATTCCTTCTTACATTTTAATTTCATTGTGTTATGAATAAGAAACAACCAACCAGGAAAAAAGTACTTTATTCAAAATAACTTTTTATGAACAGCAACCACGATAAACCTTCCCACCCAAAAATCGATTTGTACCAACATCAGATTTCAATGTTATTACACAAAGTATATTTTTTCGACGATTTTTGCTGGAACCAAGTGTATAATGATCATCACCTTCACTCAATACTCAATTAAAAATAACACTAAAACTATCTTTACAAAACAGTTTATTACGGAAGTGTCATATAGTACTAACAAGGCCTGGCAAGTAATATAATTATCGAAGGCGCGTTGTGCTTCCTTTTTGGCGGGAATTTAAGGCATGATTTTTTTCTTCGTCCAACTCCTCTTTGTGTTTTATCAATTACGAGCGATAAACCTGTTGTTATTGTTCATTAACCGTTAAGGTACATTATGTAAGTGTGACGTAGTTTTTAATCTTCGAAATCAATGAAGACAAAGTTAGGCATTTACCTGTAAACATTATGTATAATTTCTGTGTTTCAGACGTTCTTCAGAGTTCGTTGTTCTTCGAAACCATCTCTTCTTTGAGTTTAGGTTCCAATGAATACCTTATAAGAAAACATCTCCAAATGATCTCACAAGGAAATCACGATTGTTTGTTTCATTCTATTTCTTCACTTAAGAATAAAATATTATGGACGAAATGTGTGTTTAAATTGAGTCACAATCTGAATCCCCTAAGATTCTACATGTTGAATGGTACAACGTTAAGCAAATTTGAGCCAATCAGTGATTAATTACTTCCTCGTGGATAACATCCTACTACCCACAAGAGAGAATATACTTTAGTGAATGACCTTTTTTCACCTTAGTACAAACCGAACACAAAACTACCCTTTTCTATTATAATTTGATTGTGTAGACGTCCCCTCCCGAGGTTAAAGCAAACGTAGGCGATCTATGTGTCATCAGCTTTCTCTACTTGATTCATAACGGGGATTGAAGAACCGGAACATATTTTCCCGGTGGGAGCGTGCGCATCGTTTACATTTCCAATAGCATTATCACTTTCAGTATTTATCTTTAATAGATGTCTTCTATAACTGTTGTACCATCCAAAAATCTCTTTATACTTGTATATCAATAATTAACATCAACTAATTTGAAATGTTTAAGTAATTATGTACTTTAACTCAGGTGAGGGACGTTTGCTGCTTGTCTTTTGCCCTTTTTCACACGTTTATTTTATCCGAGTGAACTTTCTGTTCCTATCTCCCATCAGTTTATCGATTTCGAGACAGAACTATTGTTGTGCTATTTGATGTTATCATGAAAACACAATAATACACTTACGCCATTACACTAAATTAGTAATGGAAGATAAAATTTTAAAAAGTCAGGAAAATTAATTAAAGTTCATATGATGTAGAGTCTACCTCACCTAAGCAGTAAATCACTTCCGTGTCTTTTGATTAAATTCTGAATCACACTTTAAATCCCAATCTGTCGAAAGTTTCATGATATGTTAATTTCTTACAAATACTTTGGTAATCAAATCGTGTTCTTGTCTTAAGAAAAAAGAATACACTTCTAGATGTAAGATCTATTCGTACTGAGGTGATTTCTTCCTGGAAAGTTTTGCCATTAAAGAAATCGTATCAGACTGGGAATGTTCAGCAACTTCACATGCGTCAGGCAATCACGCCTTCCTGCAACTTTAATCTTAACATAAATACCTACGGTAAAAGCGTGAAAGAAACATACGTTTATCTAGACCATCACTTCCCGTATTTCATCGATAGATTTTTTTTTTTCATTTTACAAAAATAATCGTTATTTACATCTTAGAATTGTGAAACATTACCAAATTTGGATTATCAAGAATCTAAATAATGTTTGTTATCAAAGGATAAGCACTTTCAGAATGTAGTTGATTGTCCTTTCAAAAATGTCAACGTCCTCTGGAAATTTATCAAACTTTCCAAAATCTCCACAAAGCGGAGTCTTTGTCATCGTGTGATGAAGGGCCGATTTTATTTCCATATATGGTAAACTCGTTTCAGCTGGTACCTGATACTTACTATTCTATGTTCCATTTATGTAATATCATTTTTTATCATTTCACGTGCTATACAGAAACAGCAAAGTCCGGTTCCCAATGTTTTGGTTGCCACGCATCTGTATGTATATTTTTTCTGATGTCGAACGATTTATTGTTACAACTACGACCCACAACTGAACGAAACAAATGGCACTTTTCAAATACATGAACGGATTTTTTCTTGTCTTATCTTGTATGTTAAATATGACGTATGGAGTTAATTTAAATGGCCTACACACGCTGCCTGGCACGCTAACATTAACACCGTTTATCAATGTTTAAAATGCTGCGGTTTACCACAGTCATCTGCCGTACTATATGATTTTGTAGTAGTTACCTCTGTATTAAACACTTCCGCTGTTATGTAACAGTCAAGTACGTGTTTTTTGTAGGACACTATTCATTATATTGCTTCTCTTGATAACGTTTGTTGAAGATGTTCTGATAATGTTTTTCTACCACACAGCCATGTACTTGTCCTTGCCAAAATATCAGGTTAACTAAACACCACCACCCCCTTCCCATCCCCTCCTCTCCTCCTCATTTTCTATATAAATGTGGACATAAATGTTATTATTGCATTATGAAATATGGTAAATTAATGGAGAGTAAATATTTTGTGAAGTCAAGATGCTTAATTTCATACGCCGCAAAAAATAACAACCCACGTATTTACCTTTTATATCTAATAAAAAAGTCGCATTCAAGTCCATAAGCATCTGTAATCTATCTAGTGTTTTGTGGCCGTTATGATTTCTCGCGTACAGTTTCTGTTTTGTTCTAAATTCAGTGTATACCGGACGCAGCATTAACAGTCAGGCGCTATTCTTTTGTGTATCTTTTGGTATGCATTGTTATTAGGTCGGGTTTCGTCTTCTCTTCAAAATCAGACATCCGGGCAATTTAACCGCTAAATAAAGACATTTAACACTTAAATCTTCAACAAGTCTGATGTTTGGAAGAGAGGAAACCTTGTCTGGTACACGAAGGTCACGTCGTCAATCACTCGTATAAATATATGCAAATGATAAATACAATGTAGTGATTCATGATACAAGACATTAATAAATATATCACTTCATATCAATTAAATTCAGTGCACATTTTCACAAAAACCGATGTCTGCTAGTCTTTCCGAATATTATTATCATTTCCAGCGTCATTTTATAAATCAAATTTTGTTTTAAATGACGCCAATTGGATTTGTTTTCGCTTTCTATGTTAATTAACCTAGAAACATATTCGTAAATATTTTGATAATATCTAGCTAATAAGGGCGATTAATTCAAATCAAATTATAGCTCACGTCATTTCTAAAACATTTTTTTTCTGAACATTCAGATTGATACATATTTGTGATCCAACACTGATTTCTCTTTAATATACCTGCAAACATTTTCAGTTCATTTTGATAAAGGTTTGTCACGAAGTTTCATTTCAAATGGATCGGTTGTCTGTTATGATTAGAGAAAAAGGAATTAAAATAGTTCTATTCCTCTACACGCCAAACAACAACTTATCGCTGTTGTATAACTCCTCTCTATTGTACATGTACCTTATTCTAAATTCGTTCGAAAATGTGCTGGGTTTTTTTCTATCGGTTGAAATTTTACGCTTCTCTGAACATCGTCCGTCCTGTTTCTGCTGGCGAAGATTTAGTATTAATCAAGGGCATTTATTTACCTTCGGATGAGTTATAAAAAATACGAGTGGGTATGGACACCTGTGATACCGCAACCCGTAGGGGCTTGACATACACGTGCGAGTAGTATTACTACGATCTCTTGTGTGTAAAAGGTTGGCCAAAACATGTTAGTGTACTCAAGTGACCTGATTTGCGGGGGTGGCTGTGTTATCGCGGGTGCACTTGCCTGCCTGGGATCGAAGTCCTTGTTTGAGTAGGGTATTTTTTTTCTTTACTATCCGATATGTGATTCAAATGTAATCAATTTTGTTAGGATTGACTACCCTAATACTGTATACATATATATATAAGAAGACGGCAGTGTCAGGTATGTGGGCGTAGCGTTATAAATTGTTTCCTTATTAATACAATGGGGGTTGTAGGTGTGATTTGCAGTTGTGTTGATGATTAGGAAGGTTTTTCAATCATCCATTTATTTTTTCCACTTTTGACAACAAATATTTTAGATATGTGGAGGTTGGGTTATATGTTTCACCTTTTTTCTAATCGCCAATGATTCAAATTGTTTTAGGTGCAGTTAAATTGCAGGAAACAGGAAAAAATACTTTTTTTGAGTTTTTCATAATTTGGATTTCGACAATGAAACCAGCATTTTTCATAAAACTCAGAAAGGCCCAGGAATTTCTAATATTGATGTAATAAGCTGTAATTGATTGTTAGGTTCCACTAACATTAAAAATTCTATCATTCAATCTACAAAATGAATCTTTCATATTCCTACAACAATATGTATAATTTTTCTAGGCCCTCTTTGTTGTTTTTATATCATCTCTTACAAGTGAATTATTATTGCGATTCTTTTCTATTTTTTTTTTCCTTCCTTTATGTAAAATGCTTATCAATCACATTTTTTTTCATTGTATAGAAATAACTAAATCCTCTAGTGTCCTTTATACAATCAAATTTGTTAAATTTTGTAGAAGTGCAGTTTTAACATGTTTTCAATCACCGGAGATTTTTTCTCATTTATTACTGACTTGATTTGGACCCATAGCGAGGAGAGTCTATGGTGCAGCTAAATATGTCATTCAGTATACATGTTTTTGTGTAAATATTTTAATGTATGGAAATACTTCAGAAATACAAAACAATCCGCAGCATATATGTACCTCTCTTCTGTGCTACACTATGTATACTGGCCTCTATTATCTCCTTTATCTCTTATCAATTCTTTCTAAATGTGTCAGAAAGTCTTCTTAGACTTTGCTATCTGTTGACCAGACTTTTGATAGGGTAAGATGTTAAGTAGACAGTCTGACTAGCTTGGCTCTGTTGCCAGATTGTATTTTAGATTAACCATTGAATCGGCTATAATTTACTGATCAAAATGCGAGACCTTAAATATTAAATAACTTTGTTAACCAAAAAGTTGTTTTCATATAATCTCTTCATTTTTTTCTTATTTACAATGTATTAAGAAAGATGTGTTAAACACTTTTCAGTATGCATGGTCTTGTTTCATTGCTATATATCTTGAATCTTAAGATTTACAACTTGACATTATTATCATGATTCAAATGTTTGGTGTCATTGATGAAGGAGAGTGTACGTACTTTCATGAAATCATTCTCATACTCGAGCATGAAATCTGGGCTCAACCAAACTTTATCTAAACTTCAATAATGAAATAACAGTTTCAAAGAAAAAATTAACATTGAAAATAATACCTCATTGTAAGTCTTTCAGAAATTTCTTGAAATCATTGAAAAAATACTAATCCCATTACCAGTGTTATCACCAAATATCTTTGAGTCTGAGCACAAAATACTTATTTGAGCTTGAGTAAGGATCCATGAATAAGGGCCCTGGCCCCACTTGTATAAAACATCTCAACTTGAGATTTTCTCAAGTCGAGATTTTCCTCAGCTGATATCTCCGCAAAAATGGCTTGTATAAAATTTTCTCAAGGAACAGGAGGAAGGCATCGGCTAGAATGTCCTGAAATTCCTTGAGGAATTTTCATACAAGATATTTTCAAGGAGATATTAGCTGAGGAAAATCTCGACTTGAGGAAATCTCAAGTTGAGATGTTTTATACAAGTGGGGTCTTTTTGCATTTGAGGCTGTCCACCAAGTCTTTCCTTTGTATTTTGTTCTTGTTGTATTGATTTTACTACCAAATTTTTATTTCATCGTTTGGTGTTCACTAGTTGTAATTTCTTTCTGTTTTTTTTTCATTGGTGTGTAAAATAAATCATTTTTACTGATATTTTACATGATGAGATTATCCATGAATATCAGAAAAAGGAATGCACTTTAAACACCAGTAATCAACAAAAGGGAAAACTTATTTCTTGTATTTACATTTTGACACTTATTTTTTTTATTGACACTGTTTTAAAAGAATGTAAAATTGTCCTTCATTAGATGTTAGGCACACTGAAGGAACAACCTAACAACAGATAGAATAGCATAACAGCTCACTCCCATTTCCAGGAAAGGTTGTCAGACCTATGTTTAAGGAAGTGTTAACATCAGTTTTGTTGGTGTTGCCAAATATATTCACTTACATAAAGACTCTTTATATATGTTTTGTTGTTCTAATAATTATTTTGTGAGTCTATTTTAGTTGGACTTTAAACAAAACATCAAATATAATGTTCAATTTGATTGAACCCAATTTAGACTTTTTTCCATCAGATCAACTAAGGATTAAAAAGAAATCTTTCCTTCAAAATTTTTCAATCGAGGAAGCAAAAATGAAGGCAGAGGAGTCGAAAAAACAATACTGCTAAATATACCTGTGTTTTATCTATATTTTAAAGAAATTAACATTAAAACAAAACATTCATTTTTTGAATGGCAATTAACTACAAAAATAAGAAATGTCTGTAATTTTCTTTGATAAAATTTGAATTATTTTAAAAGAATTGAAGAATATTATATTTGATATGATGTGCATATATGTATGATAATTTTGTCCGCATGAAGTGTGATATATCAAATGTAAAGCAGCAGAACTCCAATAAGGTTGACACAATCTCTCCCCTGTGTATTCAATCACTTCAATTTTGTGAAAACTATATATTGAAGAGATGTTTTTTGTCTAAACGTTTGTGATTAATAGTGAGAAGTTATTTCCATGGAAAAGGTTTAAGCTTGTTACACGCAGCTCCTTGTAGCTCCTTGAGGTTGTCGGTATCTTATCTCTTCTTTGCTTGATCCTACAGCTTGTTGTCCAGTCAGCATCAGGTATTATAACCAGTTAAATACTTTTAACCTGAAATTCCAAAATTATTTACTCACCAATTCAAGTTCATCTCGGAGTCTGAAAATAGCTTGTTCCCTACTGCTCACTAAATCTTCAAGATATTGGTAACGTAATTTCTTCCTGGCCCGACATTCCCTGGCACTCTGTCGACTGCGTTCCAGCTTTGCCTTCACATCAACCTTTGCAGGTCTTCTCCCTGGGCGACGACCAGATCTCCGCCCTGATCTATCACCTGACATCTTGCTTTCCTCTTCCTGTTAAAGGGAAAAAAAATTGTGAATAATTCACACAATATTAACACCAGGGTCCTTATTAAACCTCTTCACTACAATATAATACTTTTTACCAGTATTTGATTTTCACTATAATGTCGGAAGGATTATATGATTATATATCTTAGTTTATAATTTTCAAAGGCAAAAACATAACAATGGCTAATATTAGGTGTTCTGGTCTTGACTCCAAATGTGGTCTTATAAGACCTGAACATGAGTACTAAATTATTGTTTTTCCTAAGCTTAATGTAAAATAAAAAATTCTGAACAAAAAAAAAAAGAACTGACAAAATTTTTAACTACACCAAGACCTGCAAGAGTATTACAGTGCTGATTCCTGGAATTGGACCCAAGATGGCTAGGTGACAGGCAAGTGCGTTACCACAGCGCCATCCACCCACCCTAATGATTTGAAAAAATGTGTTGAGATTTGTAAGGACTATTAGGGAAGTGGGTGGGAGGACCTTATCCTGACTGCTACTCGAAATCTAAGAAAAAAAACCTTAAATGTATTTTATAGAACTAATATTAGGTGTTTAAATGTCCAACCATAATACCCATGTATGTAGGTTATCCAAATACTCAGGTGCCTGTGACCAGTGACTCCACAAAAATAAAATTTGTGCTGACAATAAATTACTTACATTTAAAATAATTAAAGTTTTACCTAAAAAAGTGAACAAAACTGAAATGAAGTTATTTCATAATGTATAATATGTAAAAATATGTTGGTTTTTTCCCTCAATATATTAAAACCATTATTTCTGAAAAAAATCCTTACCTCCTACATATTTTCCCCAAAAAACATCATTCTTCATGTATAATGACAAAATGTCTAACCAAACTTACATCCAAGCAACTTCAGTTTACAGACAGAATCAACATTTACAAATGCCTCATCTTTATATTTGCTTTGGTTTATAGTGTTAGGTGAGGCCTATATATAGCTGACATTTCTTAGAAGCAAAATGAAAGTTAGTCTTCTGTTTTTCCATGATTGAAGCTGAAATAACAGATAATGCAGACTTGCTAATGATCTGAAACTGTGTCTTGAAAAATGCATTAATATATGTATATATTTTTCACTTTGTTATCTTTGTTAATTAAACGTGGCTGAGATGTTTTCATCATTCACATAAATCATTATAAGAATAGTTTGACACACCCTTTTGTTCCTGGATAAACATGTGTTTCCACAACTTCGACAAAGTTCTTTCAGATTCTGTGAAAACCAGTTATCATGCTTTATCAGCTGCCACCATTAAACTACTGTATATATGTTTTTGCACATGACCAAGTTCTCAGAGAGTTATCTTAGAACTTCATTCAGAAAGAAAAGGGAGATAATCATCAAGATATATATGAATAGAATTTGCCAATAATCAAACCCGAGCAAGGATTTAAGGTCTAAGTTTACGTCTGCAAATCAAGTTTCCTAAAAATTTTATCATTCCTTCATAAGGTAATGCACAGAAAGATTTCCCAAGGTGTGATCAAAGAAATCTGTCAATTAGGTCACAGTGGCTTCATCAAATATGTGCAGAATTCCCCGTTAATCAAGCAGGATCCGGACAGACGGAAGGACAGACAGACAGAAAGACGAAACCTTGTTGATGATTTACTCCAACATCAACTGTTTTGTATTAAAACTTCGAATTTAATGATTTTTATATGAAATGTTCCAACTATCCAAACAAGGTATGCTTTAAGAACAAGTAAACAGAATTAGCTGGAAATACAATATCTATATTACAAACATATCCATCTTAATTGATTCATACTAGGTATCACAACTTATCAATCTGCTTTCTGTGTGTCCCACATCTAAAGTACTTGTATCAAATGTGTACAAATACTTACTGATCAGCCATAGCGTGACATAAATAAACTTGATCTCCAATTATCTATTTCCTTGTAAAATAATTCAAATCTTACCAAAAATATATTGTCATTGTCTATGGTAACTTTTTCGTGTCACATTTACTAAAGCTTATACTATTTCTTTGGTAATAATTTTATGATATAGGAGCCAACACATGATCTCCAACTCAAACAGGGCAGTGGGCTTATTACAAGAAAAATCAGACGCTAAATAAGCAATGTTTTGTTTGACATTCTTAACAACTAAATAACACTGTTGACTATATTTATTTAAAGGTTAAACATTGTTAAATATCTCCCTGTGATTAACCAAGAGTCAAGAGGTGGGCTTATTACAAGACAATGAAATAAAATCTAATGGCAATTCTCATTAAGAGCAATAAATATGGGTGTGCTTATTACCTGGCATGGGCTTATTACAGGATAAAATATCAAGTTTACTAGAGTTGTGCAATCTAAGTGTATTCACAATGAAGGAAAATACTACCTAACGTAGCATTTACCATTAATGGAGTTTGAAATTCAAATCATAATTCATCATAATTTATTCTAAATATCAGAAATGATTACTTTCAAAATTTCTTACAACTCGAAGAATAATATAAATATGACATTTTACCACCATAATAGGATAACCATGTGATACCTAATAAAGTAATTGTATAAAGATGGCCTTTGACCTCAAAACATTAAGCTAATTATGTTCATTGTTTCATTGATTATAAATATTATAAATAAATAAATGCTTAAATACCTTGAATGAAACTAACTTTGGCATGACCCAGTTCTGCTGTCATCCTTATTCAATCAAACCATGTTTCAAACTTATTGTTAAGTAGAACAAAAAATCATTTATATATATTGATAATTTTTTATAGCTTTGGAAATTATAAATAACTATATAATGATTCATATATACTTTACTGACCTTATGTTGACAGTACAAAATATATAAAAATGGTTTTATTTAGCCAATTAACTGCCTACACAAAGTCACAGGGTACAAGGAGTACATCCTCATGGCTATTTTCCAGGTAAATACATATGTGGGGATCAATTTAACACAGATACATAGGTCAACATCTACAATTACCGTGGTACTTCAACTTCCTGCAATGTGTGACACATATTCCCCAAATTACTTAGATCAAGAGATCAGTGTCCAATCAAATTTAGAGAAAAATTTAAGTTTTATGGTCATTGGGTAAAACTGATAATTAGGGATAGCAACGCCAATCAATCATTAAATCTTAAAAAGCAAATGTTGAAAGATTTGAAAAAATAACATTATTTGATAATTAATATTAACATATTCATTAAAAAAATTTTTTTTTCTATTTTTTATATATATTTCATATTGCTGTCTTCCAGTATATAGACTTTAAGAATAACTGTAGGTGGATCTAATTAACTTCAAAGGTTTGAGAAAAAGTAGTAAATGAGATTGTATAATAGGATGAGAGGAGACAAAATGTCTGTTGGTAAATATGTGGGTATAGATTTATTAAAAAAAAAAGTCAAAAACTGAGAATGAATTTCAAGGGAAAGCTTAATAGTCTAAACACAAATATACACACTCAAAATAGTCTAAACACAAATATACACACTCAAAATAGTCTAAACACAAATACACACACTCAAAACTATCAATACCATTTAAGTGTGATGGGTGGTCTTCATCTTTTAACAAAATTTCTCATATATGAGGGGAATGTTAGAAGCAGGAATTAAATTTGCAGTGTAAATCATTGATTTAAGCAGGTGTCTATCATCTTACAAGTACTGGTTACAACAGGTGTCCATTCTAACAGGTATAAGATAATGACAGGTGCCCAGGATAACAGGTATTGATTGTGGCAGGTGTCCATTTTATCAGGTATCGATTATTACATGTGTCAATTTCAACAGCTTTCATTTTAAATACGGGTGTCCACTTTTATAAAGACATTAATAACATCAGGTGAAGATCTGAGGTGCATGACAAGATGCTCCGTGGCAGTTAGTGTTTCTAAGGAAGCTGAGAAACGAATTGGTATGTACCGACATGGTTGTGTAACTACTAAAAGTGATCCCTCCTTAAAATAACACTGACCCAATAAACAAACAACCATGTTATACATCTATTCAATTTGAATACAATGTACTACTGATGTGTACGTACGGTCAATTAGTGTGGTTTTAACCTCCTATGTTAATATATTTAAGTGCACCACAGTTCACAGGATACCAGCTGAATGTACAAATTAATGAGTAGCTGACTACCGTCTGTAGAGGAACGTACATACTATGTAGTCCTAGTACTATTAATAGTAACAGTCGTTATTCTTACGTAAACAAACCATACAAAATGGATAATTCGAAAGTACTTCTGTACATGTCAGTCGAGTTGAATGGGTACTGATCAATCGATGTGGGAACTTAATCCAAAAATATATGTGGTTAATCATGGTTAGGAATGATCCCAAGAAACAGACACAAGTGGAAATGTTTCCTAGAACCCCAACACCCTTCACATCTAAACTGACGGATCAGCTGTTTACTAGAAAAGCTTCCTGTCCTGGTTTTCACCTAACAAAATAATCTGGTTATTCCAATTCAAGCTTACCTTCTCTTTCTGATCAGCAGTCGAATTTGACAAGTCTTCCTTAAAATCGCTTTTGTTTTCACCAGTCATCCGATTTCGTTGTGACTACGAAAAACAGCCATTTTGTCTAACAACTATTTGTGCAATTCACGAACTCAACTGTGTATTCGACAGTGTGCCGAAGCCATACAAAAACAACATCACTGATTGGTTGATTATGAGTCACAATCTATTTTTAGAGGGAGACACACTGGAATATTCCCTGTGATGACGCACATTATATACGTGGTTGAGTAGTAGTAAACAACAAGGCAAGGTCACATGTTTGAAGACAGATCGCCTCATAGAAACCAGGTCAAATTGTTACCGATGTGTTTTCATTGTCTGACAGCGTGATTCATAGAATTTGTGAATAATTCGGATTATCTGTGTGATTCAGTTTGGGGGATCGTTATGCAACAATGTTGTTCAGTACATCAGATAAGCGAATATCTAGAACGAGGTTGTATAACCAGGAAAAATGGCCCAGATAGGACCATATGATGGGGCATAGTTAATGAATCCGTGTTATATGTAATATGTATTAAATTTTGACTCCGTGGTTTAAGAGTAATTCTAGGTTTCGCTTATTTTTTAGAAATAAGATTTATATGATAAATAGAATCTCAAACTCGTGTCTTCCGTAAAATATCGAAATGATTTAAAATTTTACTTGCAAACAGGCTCCTGAAAAATCAAAGCATTAAACTCGTTTATTAAATTTCATCAAGATCAATATTTAGATATATCATGAAGTCCGTGTTTATATAATGTACACACAATACCTAATATTTAACGAATTTATTGGTGTCATGACACTCCAATCTATGAAATGTTCGTGTTAATTAGTGCAGAATTAAAGGCCTAACGAATCTTAGATATTTTAATCACGTTTTCCTCCTCACTTATTTCGTTGAAATCACACATTTTATTGCATTCTCACGTTCTATTGAACTTTAATTTGATAGAACTTCTTTTTAACAAGATACAATTTTGAATGTGTCATATAAATATAGTGTTTGAAGTTTGATGCTATATTTAGTTATTGATGAAGCATTCGTTTCTTATTTCTCCGATTTTACGGATGATTTATCTGAGAATGCGATAGCCAATGTGTGTAAATAAGGACAAGAGAAATCAAATCGTCTGATGCTCATCAAATAGATAAATAAATATATAAATTGGAGTTAAATATGGGAGGTATGGTACCAAAAGAAATCCGTCTCACACAGTTTGATTTTCCATTGATTAAATACATTTTGAATTACTTCATAACAGTCAGACAACATCTCTAATTACCTCGTTTAGAATTTAATTTGGTAATGAATATAGTTGTTTTTTGGGGGGCGGGGGAGGGGGCGGAGCATGTGCTTCAATATAATTTATGTACACCACGTCGCATACTAATATAAATTAATGTATAAACATACAATTATGAATTTATATCATATTCATACTTTTACAAATTTATGTATAGATATACAATTATGAATTTATATTATATTCATACTAATATAAATTAATGTATAGATATACAATAATGAATTTATATTATATTCATACTAATATAAATTAATGTATAGATATACAATTATATCATATTCATACTAATATAAATTAATGTATAGATATACAATTATATCATATTCATACTAATATAAATTAATGTATAGATATACAATTATATGAATTTATATTACAATAATGAATTTATATTATATTCATACTTTTACAAATTTATGTATAGATATACAATTATGAATTTATATTGACTATTATTTTACTTAGTACATTATTTTGTTTACATCTTTTTATCAAAAAAGGGAATTGAGGGTACTATAAGTGTAAATCTTTAAGCACTGAATTATTACCTGGCATTTATGGTCGATATAAATGACAAATTTTTGCAAGCAGACACCGTATCGCTGACTTGATATGAAGACCTGTATTATTTATTAGCTTGTCATTTTTTGAAAAGCCATGTAACTTATACACAGGTTTATGCACTTATACACGTACTCGGTCTGATGTGCCATGTACACAACTTAGTTTTTTTCCGGTCACATTGTAAACGTCATAAGGGGTGAAAGGTCAGTTCATTTCATTGACTAAATAGAGAATAGAAATAGAACAATAAATCAATAAACAAAAATGAATAAAGAATAGATACCTAGATGCATGTTGTTAAGGACCTGTCTTACTTACGATCTCGCATAATGTCATACCTAGAATTATAAAGAAATGACGTCACATGCTTTCAATTTGTGGTATGGAAAAGAAATGATAACAAAAATGAAAAAAGCATCGACAGAAACAGAAAGATAAATAGCCAACCACCGATGTCTTTAAGAAGGATACTGTGTAACAGAAGTCATTCTTTCTGGTTCAGAATAAGATTGTTTAAAATAATCTTAAATGTACATATTATATTGTTACCATATTTATGATGATCTCGTTGAGAAATATTTCTATTTGCGCTATGAAGCTGGGCGTGTTTGATGCTCGTTAGTTTGCTGGTTCCGTTACCATATACTTTCTTCTCATTTGAGAATCATTTGATCAAGATTTACATGGCAGGTGTTGTCGATGAAGCAGAAGACGCTTAATCTTCCGGAACACCTGGTCTTATTCTCCTTGTATTGTTTCGGGAGTCTCCGTATCGATTTACCTTTGTTCATATTTTGCCTTGGTTTCAATGAACCTGGGTTTGGATTATGATTATGTTCACATGTTAGTATTTTCTTGTTGTTTTTGTTTCCTACAGTAGTATTCAAAATTTAAATACATATTCATGTATAAAAAGGGTTTACTAACAAATTACCATTATTACTTCAATTTCATCGGTGTTCCAGTTACTAAAGGACTTGATATAAGTCATTAATACTTGCCTATTGCAGTTGGTATCTACTTATATTCAAATTTAAAAACAGGCGCAAGTGTCAATAGGAAATATTGGACAATCTAAAATATATCTAAATGGCTTCGTTTTAACCGTATGATATTAACGAATTAAACATGTGTTTTAGACTGTAGACCTACGGATCACATTGCATGATTTTTATCCGGTGAAATTAACCCAGGAGTCCTGTACATTGACGAGTTTGGACACAGAACAACAATGTAAGCTTAACAGCAATAACACCAAATATGGAAGGGCTTATTTACAAATATGGACTTATTGTCGACTATCACAGATTCAGAGTTAAAAAGGAGTGAGAATATGATTGTGACTTAAGGTTAATAATCATTATTTATTCGTTAAAGCAAATTAAGCTTATCTATGCACTTATATAATAATTAGGGCATCACCTGCCAAGCGATGTGTATGTAAGGACTTTGACCTGGTGATGGGAAGACCCTAGCCTGTATATCACCAATGCATATTGGGACAGTCAACCTTGGTGTTTTTTAAGTGTTATAAATACCAGTTGGTTTTGTTTTCTTGTCTTCCAATGCCTTTCCAACTTTTCATCCCCTCAAATAGTTTTCTGTTTCAGACTAAGGAAAGTTCCTTTGTATATAATAAAATTTTGGAATGAAATAATCGTGTGACCATATTCTGATATCTGATGTAAAACATCGCTATATAACTTCCCATTTTCCACGCACTGATTGCCCACAAGTGAAGAGAAAGCATCCGCGAACCGGAAACATGGAAACTATCCAACGGAAAACTCAAATTTTTGGTAATTTTCCCATTTAAATCTATCAATCAAACACCCCGACCCCTTTCCGACCTACCTCATACACCTAGTACGTAAGTCTACATTGTTCTGAGCAGTATTCTTATTGAACATTATATATATATATATATATTATGGTGTATAACTGTCACCCCGTCCACAATGCCTAGTTCCTTAACGCGGATAGCTAAACCATCATTCGGAGAAAGGGTTTCAATCTATTTCCCAACAATACACAAAATACAGGATGTTCGACAAATATCGGAATTTAAGGTTGGGCGAACAAAGCAGATCCGGAAAAGTTCTCTTTCCGACTATTTAGAATTAATAATAAAAAAGGCCAGTACAGAAATTCATAAATAGTGCATCAATGCACTAACAGATACCTAGGATTTTGAATTCAATTATCTATGTTTTCGAATTGTCTGTATATATATATATAATTTAATGTCGAACAATTATTTAAACTCCATTTGTCTGTAAAAGCACATGTTACTATCATCACCGACCATTATATGGTATGTTGTAAAGAGTAAAATGTTGGAAATCAGATCGAAATATGTTGTGATGTTACGGACGGCGCAGTGATCAAAAGATTATTTTTTAATCATTTTAACTAAAACAATTGGGCAGATAAAGACGTTTTATTTATAATGAAAGATATTGATCGTTTACTCGTAATAGGATTGTGTTCAGAAAAATCGTCCTTTTTTAATATTTAGCTAAAAGGGGGAAATGATCTCTTATGTAATGTAAGAAGGTAAAAATTTAATTTTTTCTGTTTTCTTCTTTAGAAACGTCGCAAAATTTTCCGACTTCACATAAATTTTGATGTTACACAAATATCAATTTCAATGTTCTTAATGAGTTTGCTTACTAAACTCTTTGATCAACTCAAGCCTTTGACAAGAATGGGATAGCGTGTACGTGTTTATTCTCAAAGAGTTTAATATAGCTAATCATTATCTACATGTTTTTAAATTAAAACAAGTTTACATTGTAAAAATCATTCAAGTCAGAAAATAAAATAAACAAAACTACAGAAAAAAAAGAAAGAAAAGGAGAAAAAAAAAAACAACAACAACAACAACAACACACACACACACACACACAAAAGGCACAAATCTGTTTTAAGTGTTGTTAGAACCGGACACAAAGAAGGACATGAGATGCGATTTTGATCACAGAATCAATATCACTTTGGAACGGAGGGAAGATCAGTGGGGTTCGATAAGGGAAAGGGTCATCTCGCTCTCTATTGTATTTTTATAGGTAAGAAATCAATATTTGTATTTTCTTAATACGTACATGTATATAAATATCAAACAACTATATAGCTGTAAAGATGATGATAATTACAGTAAACTCCAAACTGCCTTACCTTAGTAAATTTACGTGACAGCCATCCTTCGCCCATGTGCTTTTACATCATGCGACTTACCGGTATGTATATGACTTAAGTACTTGCTTATAGCCTTTAGCAACAAGGGGAATCTCCATGTTTATTCCAGGTACATTTCAGTCTATAAATAGAATATATTAGCCACGATCCTACCTGGTAATGTATACTTTTAAAAATTTATACTCATATTCTTGTTCTTATTTTTTTTTACTCTATGAGAATATAAAAGAAACTTTTTAAAGTTCACTGACCACGCTATAAAGTGACATCACCAGTAAAACGATGAATCGACATAAATAAAGAGAAATCGTGTCACCAGGTAAATATTTCCTCTATAAATAGCAAATAATGACCCGTATTTTGAAATATACATCAACTAAAATTTGCAGTCATATATTAACAATAATAAATAATAATTCTATTGTTCACATAGAAAGTATTTACCTCATATTTGTTGTTAAGAAATTTCCATAAAGTTGGAATATAGAGGAATGATACTTGATATAGTTTGATTAGGATTGCAATATTGGGGAGGGAAGGAGGGGAGGGGGGAGATGAACACCGACTACAGGTGTTTATTAAGTATTAACTAAACAGAAAATATAATTCCCCACTAAACACAAAAACAGAACGTATCATTGATGTTCATAGATATTAAGTTATCAGCTCAAACAACATGGAGTCGTGGACCGTAATTGCTGGGACGTCCTAACAACACGTAGTATTTACATATAGGTGTCCCAAGTTACAACCGTAAGGAAAAGAGCTCTCTCTCTCTCTATTTATATATATATATACATATGAAACTATGTAGATACATCATCATCCCTCTACATTTTCTACTTTCCTGTTCTACTATCCGTTAGTTTCTCTCTCAGTGAGTCAATTTTAACCCCGTCCATTATTAAATATCGTCTTCTTTCTCCGTCCTCTTTTCGTTGTCTTTTGCTCTATGTCTTGACAAGTCCTACGACCAGGACGGAAGATGTTAGATCTCATCGTGGACGCTATGAAGACATGGCTTATCTGGTCCGATTTTTTCCTACATCATTGTTGATTGGTCTTGTGTAGGAGATGACGGAGAACTCGCATTTCACCTCCTCTAAATCTAATTTCCTGAAAAATGCTTTAACGGAATCAGTTTGATATGAAGCTGTCATTCCAGATGTGGCAGGTTCTATCCATTGTTCTGATAGTTATATCGTATACTACAAGTTTCATAAAATTGAATCTAATTCTTTCACTTCTACACCAGCCATTAATTTAGTCGATTAAAATTATTCTACCTATATCGCCCCCCACCCCATTAAATCTCCTCTGGGCCATCTATTGTTCTGTGGTGTAACATTGCTGCCCCCCTCCCACCGTTAAGTCTCCTCCGGACCATCTATTGTTCTGTGGTGTAACATTGCTGCCCCCATCCCCACCGTTAAGTTTCCTCCGGACCATCTATTGTTCTGTGGTGTAACATTGCTGCCCCCCTCCCACCGTTAAGTCTCCTCCGGACCATCTATTGTTCTGTGGTGTAACATTGCTGCCCACCTCCCACCGTTAAGTCTCCTCCGGACCATCTATTGTTCTGTGGTGTAACATTGCTGCCCCCACCCCCACCGTTAAGTTTCCTCCGGACCATCTATTGTTCTGTAGATTGACATTGCCGCCCCCACCCCCACCGTTAAGTCTCCTCTGGGCCATCTGTTGTTCTGTGGTGTAACATTGCTGCCCCCACCCCCACCGTTAAGTCTCCTCCGGACCATCTATTGTTCTGTGGTGTAACATTGCTGCCCCCATCCCCACCGTTAAGTCTCCTCCGTACCATATATTGTTCTGTGGAGTAACATTGCTGCCCCCACCCTCAAGTCTCCTCCGGATCATCTATTGTTCTGTGGTGTAACATTGCTGCCCCCACCCCCACCGTTAAGTCTCCTCTGGACCATCTATTGTTCTGTAGTGTAACGGTGCTGCCCCTGTTCAGGCTCCTCCGGACCATTTTTTGCTCTCTAGTGTAACCGTGCTGATCCACGGTTTGTCTCCTCCGGACCAAATATGGCTCGGTAGTATTATTACACAGCCTCTGCCTTGTATTCATTTGTACCGCCAATTTGAGTTTGTTGCCAATATTGAATTTAGTAAAGAAATATTCAAGTTTATTGCAAGCACCTTTTTTTTGGCCAAAATCAGCTTGGCAGTCAATGACTTTTGCAAGGTTACAATGCAGCCTTTGACTTGACAAAAATTTGAAGTCGGATTTTTAGGTTAAAAGAAACAATAAGACCACATAAAATATCTGAAATGTAGACACGTGATGTACTGATCATCTATTCCTGCTTCAACAGATTTCAAATCTCGACTAAGTGGAGTCAATATTGCTTTACATCCTGATTATTCCATGTTGCTTTACTCCCAATTAACAGCCATAGTTATTAATGGAGGTGTCAGATTATCAGTAGAAAACCCACCAACCTGGCACTGCCTCCTACCTTTGACCCAGATGTGGAGGTCAAATGTGATGGAGGGCCAGGTCACGGCTGCTTTCAATCAAAGTCCTTGAAACAGGTCAATTTGTTATTTTACATATAATTGAATGTTTTAATTTTAAAATAAAGAATTTGTTTTAAGGTGCCAATCTTGTGTGCATTTTTAAAATAAAATTGGCAAAAAAAAATGAAATGTACAAAACAGGTGAATGAAAGTGTAAACAATGCAACTTCCAATCATGTATTAGGAAAGTAAACGTGCGGAGCTGTATTACATAAATCTGGACTATACAGTATCATTTCAGTTATATACAGGCAGCAAAAATTATAAAGTGATAGCATCTTTTCCTTACAGTAGATTTGTTTTATCACAAAAATAAAAAGTGACATTAATCATTTCAAAATCCATGAAGCCCATCATGTTTCTTACAAAAAGCTTAAGGTATGCCAGTAGATCAAAACTTTTTAGCATTAATCACCAGTTTTAAAGCATAGCTACATAAAGTATAAGGCACACATTTGCAGCAGAGGATGATGTGTCCTATTGTAACACAACAGTAAAGGTTTTAAAGCATGTCGTGTTACAACACAACGGGCAGTCAAAATAAGTCATGTTGCAACACAACAGGCAGCCAAAATAAGTCGCGTTATAATAACTGGCAGTCAAAATAAGTCATGTTACAACACAACGGGCAGTCAAAATAAGTCATGTTACAACAACGGGCAGTCAAAATAAGTCATGTTACAACACAATGGGCAGTCAAAATAAGTTGTGTTGCAACACAACGGGCAGTCAAAATAAGTCATATTACAACACAACGGGCAGTCAAAATAAGTTGTGTTATAACAACCGGCGAGTTGTCAAGTCCTGTTGTAGTGAAGTCCTGTAGTGTACTGATGTTTCCAAGACTTAATAGCACCCTTTATGATAAGATGTTTCCATGAAAATTATTATATTTATTGGAATGTTTTAAAGTCCTGAATAAAATTTCTATTCATGTCTTTCTCCTGGTGGAGTAACAAGATTTAAACAAGGTTTTACCATCTTATGTTGTCCTGTACAGTTTATAAACTTTTTAAACTTTTTATGAGAGACTTCACATTCAATGATTTAAGTCGCAAAATTTTCTGAAACGCACAACAAAAAAGGAAAGAAAGAAAAAGATCAAATTGATTTGACCCACGTTTTAATCATAAAAGATCAATAACAATCAAATCGAGAGTCCTTTACTGCTGCTGTTCAGATGGCATGTTGCGGATAATATCAGAATCACCTGTAAACATATAGCATTAAAATAACTACACAAGCTTCAACACACGATTACATTTGAATTATTTTGGTAGATCAAGAGAGGCAACTCTCCAACCTTTAAGACTATTTCCCCTCCAATTTCCAATAAGGACTTCAAGTTATATTAAACAAGTAGTCTGGTATGTGCCAGCTTTTCCAGAAACAAGTAATTGAACAAATGTGTTTTCAATGCACTTATTCTGTTTCGAGTGTGATTGGGGCTCTACAATATATGAAACTCATCAGACTTTTTAAAACTAATTTTTAACATTCATTTACTGTAATAAAAAATCTAACACAGAACAAACTTTTTTTTTTGGGTAGAATTTTTATAAATGTGATAAGAATCTAAAACCAGACAAAGCTTTGATTTAAGGTACATAAATGTATCTCCTATGACCAGTCGCACTGATAAACAGTTTGAGTAGATCAAGGGAGGTAACTCTCTCTCCCACAGGATGAACGTGTTCACTCGACTATGAAGCCAGGACACTGCCTGAATCTTGTGGTTACATGTATTCAATGCTCAAGAATTTAACACAACGAAATGAAATAAAACATACCTGGATCAGTGATGCTGAGAGTACATACACGGAAGTATTTACCACAGGCGGTACCCAACTCTATATTATTACCAGAGTAGTGATGTACACCAGTCTTTGCCAACATAGCATAATACTCAATCTCGCTCTTCCTGTCAACACAAATACCTTAATTGACTTTAGGAAGAAACTTACCAACTTTTCACTAATACTGAAATTTCAAATTCCTGATATAACTATAAAATTTAATTTGAATTTAAATGCATGCCTGAATGTTTAGGTTTACCTGATTTGTTCTCTTCTTCAGTTCTCAATTTTCTATTTTCTGAAAGTTACCTACTATGCACAATATATTCAAGTACCAACATCAAGACCACATTACCTTGCCTACCATCAATTCATGTGCTTTACATCACCTGTGCTGAATGATCTTAGGTGATCAAGAGGTCAAAGTTCAAACCTCAGCATCCCATTGTCCACTTTGTGAGCAGAAAGCAAACCAAGTGTAACAGGTGAATGACTTCATCTTTGCCCGATTTATTCGGACTCCGAAATCACATATCATTGAAACCACATTTTTCAACAACAATAGATATATATACAAATATTTCATCTGATAAATTAACAAGCAAAAAGTCATAAATCATTGTTAATTTTTTTAACCAGATAAGAGTTCATTTCCTTGAGAAAAAAAAAAAAAAAAAAACAAACAAAAAACCAATACTTTACATATCACACTATTTTATATTAATTTTTCATCGTAATTTGAAAAAAATTACCTGCCGCTGATGACCAACACAACAGTAAATATCAATCCGGTTTACCTTAAGGGTGGGGTGTTGTTAGCAATGATGACCAGTTTAGCCTTGCCCTGTCGGAGTGTTTTCAGCGTTTGTTTGTAGCCAAGGACGTATTTCCCGCTCTTCATAACAAGAGCCAGACGAGAGTTAATGTTCTCAATACTCTTCTTCTGTAAGGAAAAATACAAAAGAAACTAAGTTTCTCAGCGAAGTTGACTACAATTTTCTCAGTCAAGATTTTGTGCTACCATTTTCTTCTTCATATTCAATCATTATAATTCTCACAATTACAACCAGATCTGAAACAATATGGATTTAACATATGGTTTTGCAAATTGATTTTGCTTAACTTCCACTCTAAAACATGCATCATAGTACGTTTACGCTCAAATTTGTCGACATCTTTTACTACACTCAATATGTGGCTAATGCCCAAATTGAACAGGATAGCATGCACATTAATTATGGCCACAATAACGTCTCCAAAGCTTAGAAACTAAAATTTTGTATATAAATGCCACACAGAATAACAAAACTACTGCCGGCAATAAATAGTTTCTGTTAAAATCTATTATTTTACAGAAACATACACCAAAGTACCTCTTATTCATTTTAATTAGGAAGAAGAATTTGATGCCCCGTTTTGTTAATATCCAGAAAAGAAATCGAGTCATTTCGGTACAAATTGTTCCGGTACTTGCAAAAATGGTCTACACAGCTAGAGGGTCTTTTTAAGTAAACAGTTTTCCAGTAAATTTCGGTAATGGAATTAGCAATATTTAATAATGCCAAAACTCGTGAAAAAACTTAATTTATATATATATCACGAAGTACTTATTGTGGAACAAGTTGGTACCGAAACGACTTGCCCCTCCTGAAAATGTATGGAAAATTGTGTTAAAGCTTTCCGTCTGAACGTCTCAATATGAAATGCAAATTGAACGCACAGATACATACTAAAATATGTCTTTTTCGCATGTGTGTTATAATATGTTTTAGAAAATACACAATAACTATCTATCAACTGTCCTTTCCATTACCATAATCCCATGTGCACACCACATGGCTCCCAATCTACTTACGCTTTTTTTTGCTGGGGCCATTTTGAAGGTTTGGGCGAGAAATATCCTGAAATTAAATTAGAATATCGATTACTTATCAATTCAATAACAACAATTCTTATACCAAATGATTTTTATTAATTTTATACACGGTATTTAGGCGACAATTGAGAATTCTCTTTACCCCACCTTCTCCGCTCGGACGTCTGGTGAGAAAAGAACGTCCACGTGATGAAGTGGACCGAGTTCACGCTTGTTCACGCGAGATCTCACATTCCAGCGATGGCGGCGAAGTGAAGTTCGCCGACTCTGTTGTGATACGATATAACAACTCCTGTGAAAACCACGCAAGAAATAGTCATCACGATGTTTGTTTATTTAAGCAAAAAGGTACTGATTGTTTTATTGCTTAATAGATACCGCAAATGCAACCATGATTCCAAGCCATAGTTTGTCCGCCTGGTTGCCAATGAAGCACTTGTTTACTCTCGTTTCATGCGCTTACACCACTGAATCAGTGATTCAAGTCCAGGTTAGGTTGCATGATGCAGTCGTTACATTTAGAGTATACAATTTAAATTATCTTGGAAACGTATTTGACCAGATAGATGTAATATAATATTTTTCTTAGATTCCTTGTGAATCTTAAACATAAGATTAAACGATACAAATATACACCAGATTATACTGTACACAATCTGTCTATAAACAGATTTTGATCACGGATGTCTATTTCTTTGTTAACAGATCGCCATCCCCAACAACACCAAACTTCGTTGTGTATCATGGAACAGGGACCAGGGATACATTGCTTGTGGGGGAGAGGAGGGGCTCCTGAAAGTCCTCAAACTAGAAATACAAACAGGTAGAGGTTACAATCAACAGTCATACATCTAAATAGGAAACTCCTTCCAGCTGAAACTTGAATCCTACATATATTCCTACATATATTCTCAACTTTTGCATCACTCTTCAGGGCTAGAAAAAAATATTTTCAGCTACTCGTCTGTCGGGCAAATGTAACTTGAAATTCACTTGCCCGAATCCAATATTCACTCACCTGAAGAAAAAAGGGCAACAAAACATAATTTAAGGAACACAAATTTATTATCATTTTATTTCTATATCAAATGTTTGAACTCAACACTTGCTTTTATTGTTTTACTCATATTTACTTCACTGTTAACACGAGCGAGAACATCAACTTTTTGACAGTAACTACGTACACAAAGCAACTTTGTATACAACATTTGTGGTGACGTAATAGGTTTTTGCATAGTGTGGATCAGCCAGTCTTGGGGTAAACAAGGCTGCTACATCGATGTATTTGATCGACTATCAGTGGATTTAAATTAGTTTTAAGAGTGTTTAAGTTGATAAATGTCATTTATTATTGAATATTCAATAGTCAGAACTACAAATTTCATTCGCCTGCTGGACAAGTAGCTGAAAGAAATCACTCGCCTGCAAGTAGCTTTGACTCGTCTAGATGAGCGGATGAGTGGATTTTTCTAACCCTGCTCTTTCTTTCGAAAAATCTTTGAAAAGCAAACCATCACGCAAGTTCTTTACCACCAAATATCCTTTGAATGTTACTTGGTCAACTGCCCAATCAAAATTTAATGACCTCTTTCTCGCAGAACAATTAAAACTCCCAACAACTAATTAAGCTAAGGAATATTCAGACAAATGAAGGTTAGTATTGAGGTAATTTGTGTATATTTTACATTATGAATGTTGTTTTTTATTTTGATTGATTTCTGTGTGTTTAATATAAGGCCAATAGTATGTGTTAGTCTTTTAACAGTATTGAATCAGCACTGAATTATTTGTTATTATGTTTCTAGGCTTATTTCTAGTAAAAAGCCCACCAAATCAATTTCTGTTTATTAGAAACATCTGCAATTACATGTACTATTTGATTGTGATGTATGATATAGAGCCCACCCTCTGAATTTGTGTCAGAGGAAATGTGCTGTACCAGACATTTTATAATAATTCTGACACCAGAACAGAACCAATGAAATTTAATCCATGAATGAATATATTTTGGTTGTAGGAAAAGATGTGAAGGTGAAAGGACTTGCTGCCCCCAGTAACCTGTCAATGAACCAGACACTTGAGGGACATAGTGGTTAGTACTGCTAGAATCTATACAACAATGTATCACCTATTTGTTGAGGCAGGGAACTAATATATATTTATCATGATATTGACTGTTGATTTTTATTTTTTTTAATATCAAGTCACCAAAATGTAGTTTGAGCTATTTGTTGCTCAATTTTTTTCTCCAAATTTACCAGCAGGTTTTTAAAAAATGTTTTGAATGCCACAGTATTAGTATATACCTTTGCAATGAAGTCTAATAAAAATTTTTCATAAACAAGATATTGGAAGAAAGAGATACATTGCTGATGTATATTATCTGTCATAACATGGTATGCAGATTCATAATGATTTTTCTTTATTTTTACCAGAGTGTTGTAAAGTTCCAAGTCTCATGGTCTCTTACCTGTAATGTACATAGAATTCAGTAAAAATAAAGATATTCAAAACTATTAACATGTACATCATCTCTGTCAATCATGATGTTATAACAGGTGCAGTACAGGTGGTAACATGGAATGAGCACTACCAAAAATTAACCACGAGTGACCAATATGGCCTCATCATTGTCTGGATGTTGTACAAAGGTAGGTGATATCTAGAAGGTTTCAACCTCAGCCAGAGAAGAGATCACTTACCAGATACAGTAATCTTTTCTTTATCATGTTGGCAAGATCTTTATGAAGAACCTTTAGTCAATGTCACCTAGCTATTGTATTGTATTGTAGTGGATTTGAGATGGCAGAGTCACACAGTGGTAACATAGTCACCTTTCATCCTGAATAAGTTGATAGCTTGTTTCACATTTGTTATAAAATCAGTTAAGTTTATAGATGGAAGGATATTGTGCTTTATGTATTGATATATCAACATTGAAATTAATTTTCTTTGGAAGCCAAATAATGAAGGAAAGCAAAATTACATTTTTGACACTGTTTCTTTATTCCGAAAGAAATTTTTTCTACTGCTTCAATGTCACTATTATAGCAAATGTACTTACGACCCTTTGTATGTCTTTCTTTAACAGGTTTATTTGAGTTTGTTTATTTGTTTATTTTGAATCAGGCTCCTGGTATGAAGAGATGATTAACAACAGAAATAAATCTGTGGTGAGAAGTATGGGATGGAATGCAGATGGACAGAAAATCTGTATCGTCTACCAAGATGGTAAGTTGGTAAATCAGTATATTTCTCTACTAGTTAACATTTTCAATATGAACTTGTGAAAATGCAAAAAAAATATTCTAACCTCAGCCATTTTTTTAGGATGTTGTCAGCAGAGTCTATAACAGAATTTGAAAAATTTTGAGGAATACCATTTGATTACCTAGAGATAGTCTGTTCTGAAAATTGAGTCCACAGGGAAAACATATGTCTAGCACTTAAATTAGAGTTCCAGAAATCATTGTAACATTCCAATCTTCTTAATTATACAGGAGGTTCTTTAACAATAAGTATATCACATCAGATAATGGCATACAGAATAACATTCTATGTGTTTCATCAGTGACTTTCAGTGACTTTAACCATTAGAATAGAGAAAGTCCCTGATAAACATGAGAATGATTTCAAAAACAGACCTTTTGTGTTGCCTTAAACAATTTGTAAAATTTCTACAATAGGAGCTGTGATTGTTGGATCGGTTGATGGTAACCGAATTTGGGGCAAGGAGCTGAGGGGTCAGGAACTTAATCATGTTGAGGTGTGTATAATTCTTTATATTGAATAATTATCTGGCAATAATTCCTGCCATGTCAGTTTCTTGTCAGTGGAAATTTTAACAATTAGTACATATACCGGTATTTCATGGTCCTGAAATTCACCATGGCTCACATCAAAATAAAAGTTCACTTGATGGGTCCGTTACAGGAAAGAATCAGCATGGAAAGTTTTTTTTAACACTGATTTTAAATATTATCCTTTGATTTGATGAAATAATATAAATATTTGCAATAATCAGTGACATTTTAATCATCTGAATTTTATTATTAGTTAATTATACTATGATCAAGACAAAGTAATGTGTTAAGAATCTTTGGCACCTGTTGTATATCAGAGATCATACAAGGTCTGGAAAACTTGTGAAATTTTACCTACCAGACAGGTTCTTATAACTCATTGAATAACAGAAAGGTTGAAAAATCTCCTGAAATAGTCCCAGAGTTGTTTGAAATTATCCTTGATTTTTACAAAATAATTTGAAGAAATAATTTAGAAGTTAATGCATTCAATCTATTCATCTACCAAAATAGTCAGGTTTTTTTTCCAACTTAAGATGTCAACATAGTTGAAGAAGTGCAGCATTTTGATATTTTGTGATGTGGTGCATGTACTTATTTAAGTCTTTAATTAATATGCAAGCAATAATCATATTAAAGAAAGTCTGTAAGCAGTAATTTTCATAAATTAAGTGCTGGAAAGTTGATTTTGAATCATCAATGAGTTTGGTTTATTGTTGACATCATTGATGTCAGACATCGGTATGGATCTTTTCTTCCATGAAGCTGAATAAAATCTTTATTCCATGAAATGTTTCAACGTAAACTTAACAAATATTGAAATATGACTGCATTTCTAAGTGTCATTACAATACATCATGAAGATATTGTTTTGGTTGCAGTGGTCACCTGATGGGAAGTTCATCCTGTTTGGAATGGCCAATGGGGAGGTTCATGTTTATGACAATACTGGTAACTTTATTGTGAGTATACATGCCTTTATAAATATGAAGTAAGAAAATCTGTAGGAAAATCTTTTCTTTTTTTCTCTTTACTTCTGGTTTATTTTCCCAATTCCATCTGATATTCATTGAATACCAGAAACACTAATGATTCATTGAATACCAGAAACACTAATGATTCATTGAATACCAGAAACACTAATGATTCATTGAATACCAGAAACACTAATGATTCATTGAATACCAGAAACAGTCATGATTTGATGAATATCAGAGACACTAGGTTGAAAGCATGAGTATTGTTTGTCCTTGAATTTCATGTCATGTCAGTATTTGGACCATATGCAAAATTTTGCCATTGTTTTCAGTCAAAGCTCCAAATTTACTGTCTCTCTGGAGTGAGTGGAGCAATACATATTGCAGGTCTCCAGTGGTACAATGGAAACCATGGTTATATTGAGCCAAACTGTCCCTCCCTGGCTATCTGCTTCGACACTGGACGCTGTCAGATCATGCGATCAGAGACTGATGAAAGTAAGTAAAATACCTGTTATTAGATATGTTACAACCAATTTTATAAGAAACAACAGCCTTCTGGATTGTAAGTTTGAGTCCTATGTGAGGCAGTTCCCAAACACTGACTGCAGGTTGATGGTTTTTCTCAGGGAACTCTCCCCTTCTCCACCAACAATCCTGGCATGTCCTTAAATGACCCTGGTCGTTAATAGGATGTAAAGTAACAACAGACAAGTAAACAATTCAGTATGCTATCCATTATGTGGTTAAGGTCTGATCAGCTCTTTAGTACAGGGCTTTTCCTGTTTATTTATTTTGGGTCATATAAGGCCCAATTCCCAATGGTGTATCATGTTTATTTTCATGATCCGCGTAGGGAGAGCATACAGTGTTGTCTGTCTGTACATTCATCCACCCATTTATTTTCCTGTTTGTCATTCCGTCCATCTATCTGTCCATTATAATTTTGTCCGATGCATATCACAAATACTATAAGAGTTGTCAAGATAAAACGTCTTAGTAGATAATTCACAACAAGGAGAAGTGCATTGTACAAGAACCATAACTCTTTTTGACATAATTCAGGAGTTATTGGAACTTGATATATGTATTGATCATACAAAGAGAATTTGCAGCATACCAAATTCAGGGCCCTCAACTTCTTAATTACAAAATTATGGTCCTTTGATTATCTTTTTTGTCTGATAAAGTTATTTTCAGGAGAATTCATCAATTTCACTTATATTCCTGTTCCTTATGTAGTCATAAAAAAAAATACTGAAATTTTTAAATTAGGTATTATATACCTTTATCATCAAGCTTTCTATGAAAACCACAAAAAATTTAACCATAGAAAAAAAAATTAGATTACATAAGGTATTTCAATTACATTTTTTGCAGACAGATTATTCATTAGATCTGGAGAGTGATCTGTATTTTTTAGACAGGAAATACATTTAAAGTTTATGCAAATGGAGATGTGACACACCTGCTGTGTTCTGAGAAATTCTGTATCAATGATTTCTGTTTTATCACACCTTGGTCACGTCAGTGACAGTCCTTGTAAGTCAGGAACTTTATAATTACAGACCCGGTCCTGATAGACACAGGAATGACAGTGGCGCAGATCGCCTGGAACCATACAGGTGCGGTGATGGCCGTGGCCGGATCACAGAGGACCGTTGGCCAGGATAAGGATATAAACGTTGTACAATTCTATTCTCCATTTGGTGAGGTAGGTATCAAATTTTAGACATTTTTGTGCATTCAAAAACCTTAAAATTTAAGACCTTGTGAATAACATTGATTTGCGACAACCTGGTTCAAAACTCTTAATATGGATGAAAATGTTAGGGAACAGATTTCTGTTACTTTATTTATACTCGTCAGTCCAGAAAATTTAATTCTTAATAAATCAAAATGAAACACTGTTTACTCTGATAGCTTTACTGATGTTCATATTATTACGATTAAACATAATTTGAACTTGTCCTCTACAGCACCTGCGCACCCTGAAGGTACCAGGAAAAACGATGTATTCATGTTCCTGGGAGGGAGGCAGTTTAAGGATTGCTCTGGCTGTGGATAGTTTCATTTATTTTGCCAACATTCGACCTGATTACAAGGTAAACAATGCTGTTTATTTTGTTGTACTTATGTCTTAAAACCAATTCATCTGTTAAATTGTGCATTGTTGGCAAATTTTGTCTCTGTAGAAGAAAATTTTTAACTGAGCAGATTTCATTGAAAATGCAAACATCTACTTTCAGTGCTCAAAGTATTCAATATTTGCATTGAACATTTACAGGAACCTTCGTCTTAAGACAAAATAAAACTTTTTATAACATTGATTTTAATATTGTGCATTAATCATTGAATCTGCGAACTACTGCTTTCTAACACCTGTTTTTGTTTTAGTGGGGATACTGTTCCAACACTGTGGTATATTCCTTCAGTAAACCAGAGCGAATTGAACACTGTGTCATCTTCTGGGATACAAAAAATGGAGAGGTGTGTTGTCATGGAAATGCTTTGTATCTTATTATTGTTTTGTCAAGTTTTAAGTAAACAGAGAGTAACAAGTATAGAAGAGATGAGAATCAGGAAATTAGTAGTCATCATTGTAGATTGATTTGTCACCAGATGGTGTGATGGGGTTTATTGATGGAACATCTTGGCTATCAAAGATCTAGATCTTTACACGAAAGCTTGGACTTGGCAGACCTCAAAACTTTTTACTGTAATATACACATATACGTTTGGAAATAATGATTTACAAACCCTTGCTATGTGTTACAGAAATATGTGAAATATGTGAGGAATCTGATAGCCATCACTGCATGTGGAGACTACTGTTGCCTGGCAACAAAGGCTGATGAAGTTGTGGGTCAGGTAAGTCAGTTTTTAGAAAAATACAATTAAGACTTCATTGATTTTAATTCTGGCAATTGTATGTGAATACAGATTGTATTCATGAAATATTTACATACATTGTTTAAATGGTTCATTAAGATCAGTAAATTTGTTTCCATCTGATTCTCTTATCCAATGAGTAATTATAATTCTAGATTTCACAAGTCTCGGCTTTCAGTTTTAGCCTGATCATTCCCTTCCATTTCTCCCATTACAATGACGACAGTTGCTAAAGCTAGTCTGAGAAATTCATGTATTATCTGTATGTTTGTTAGCTTGTCAAAGGCAATGCCAAAATCTGGAATGTAAAAAGAACTGTCTTCAAGGGAAAAACTTCAAATAAAGAGAGGAATATAGTGGTTCCTACCCATAAATTGGTCTAGACTTTAGGCCAGGGGCCTTATAGCTCAGTTGGTTGAGTACACATACAAAGTTTAGAGGACCTGGGTTCAAAACCATGTCTGTTGTTGCATTTTCCTCACTGTGATATCTGTTTTATATTACTAAAAGGGAGTGTTACTGTTAAATGTTGGAACCCCTCTAGGCTGTAACTAACTACTACAATATGTGTTGTCAATTGGAACCCCTCTAGGCTGTCTGTAACTTTACTATTACAATATGTGTTGGTGCTGTGTGTTATTACAGTATGTATTAGTGTTGTTTAAGTCTATTGGAACCCCTCTAGACTGACTCAAACTTTACTATTACAATATGTGTTGGTGCTGTCGATCAGAACTCCTCTAGACTGTCTGTAACTTTACTATTACAATATGTGTTGGTGCTGTCAATTGGAACCCGTCTAGGCTGTCTGTAACTTCACTATTACAATATGTGTTGGTGCTGTCGATCGGAACCCCTCTAGGCTGTCTGTAACTTTACTATTACAATATGTGTTGGTGCTGTCAATTGGAACCCCTTTAGGTTGTCTGTAACTTTACTATTACAATATGTGTTGGTGCTGTCAATTGGAACCCCTCTAGGCTGTCTGTAAATTTACTATTACAATATGTGTTCGTGCTGTGTGTTATTACAGTATGTATTAGTGTTGTTTAAGTCTATTGGAACCCCTCAAGACTGAATCAAACTTTACTATCACAATATGTGTTGGTGCTGTGTGTTATTACAGTATGTATTAGTGTTGTTTAAATCTATTGGAACTCCTCTAGGCCGACTGTAACTTTACTTTTACAGTATGTGTTGGTGTTGTCAATTGGAACCCCTCTAGACTGTCTGTAACTTAACTCTTACAATATGTGTTGGTGCTGTCGATTGGAACCCCTCTAGACTGACTCAAACTTTACTATTACAGTATGTGTTGGTGCTGTGTAACTCCATCGGAACCCCTCTGGACTCTAAGTATGTTGAGATAGATCCTGTATACCTGAACATGACAAAGACACATATCGTAGCTGCATCAAAAGAAGCTATCTATACATGGCAGTTCAAGAATCCCAAAAAACTTTCAACACTAGAGGTCGCTGGAAGGAGACGAACAGGGACAGAAAGGTCAGAACAAACATTTTGTAATGTCAGAGAAAGTGTAATCATTTACAGTACATTTATGAGATTCAAACACTAAATGATTTCAGGTTTTTGTAAATGTTTATCGTTTACTCTATTCTTGTAGCTTTACTTGATTTTGCTGGGTCAGTACAAAATATCAACCACATCTCTATACCATTGGTATTTCTGTCAGCAAATATCGTGAAAATGTGTTTTCAGCTTTACATTTTAAAGTAATTGTACCTGCTAGATTTGCCCCAATTGCATAATAATGTAGATGTCAAAATTTGGATTAGATTTTAGTTTTCTCTATGAAAAATTTGTTTTTGTTTAAAGTGTGCCTTGATGCTGCCATAATTTCTTTTGGTCTTTTGTTGAGTGTTGAGTGAAGAATTCTCATCCCTACTCCTACACCTACCCTAAGAGGGGATAGAATCAAGTGATTGTGATTATTCTGCCATAGATATTATAACCAAGGGAGGTTTGAATCATGTGTAGAATCTCTGGGGAAGAAATCAAGATGGGGGCGGATAGAAAGTTTACTTCAGTTGTAAAATAAGTAAAATTCTTAGATTTTACTTATAGATATATACAGCATTAAGAATATAGCCACATCATTAAATAATTAGTATTAATAACAGTATCATAAAATTCATTGTTTTATAGACTTTACCATATAGATGACCAGCCAACAGGATCCGCTGCACAAGACGAGGTGGACTTTAGCAAGGCTTACAATGTAAGGCATTAATAATGTGTGACACTAGATATCTAAAGTACTATTACGTGAAAATATATATCAGTCTTGTTGATAAAGGTTGTAGGATAAGCATAAACATGAAAACCTTAAATACAAACTACTGAATCATAAAGAATTTAACTAATACATGTACTCTAGTCGTTTTGTTGACAGTTGTAAATAGCTTTAGTTAATTTACACACAGTGCTTCACTGGTGCCATAGAATAATATTAAAAAAAACACCTTAGAGCTGTATGTATTTCTCAAATTCCATCACAAAGTTTGTATTAAGAATGAATTCCTTACATGAACGAAAGAATTTCTGTTGGCATGAAAACACTTTTTAACATAATATCTGTGACAACAATTTTTGTGTAAACTTAAAGCATTGTTGACTTGTGGTTACTAGTTTAGTTGTAAGGTTCCACGGAGTCCAGTGTATTGATTTGAATCCCCTTTTTAAAATTTCTAACATGATGTAATGTTTTATTTTGCTGCTATCAGCGTGGTGGGAAACAGGTACTATGTAACTCTCATCACATGTATTATGTTAGTACTCACCCAGAATTCTGATTTTTAGCATCACCTCTTGGCCCATATCTGCTTGTGACTGTAGTTTAGTTCAACATTCTTAATATGTTTTCCATTTGGTGACATCAACAATCTTATTTGCCATTTTGACAGGCAGCACTTGTGATATTATATGTAAGGTAACATCTGAATACCTATCAATTTTATTATGACAAGAAGGATATAAAATCATAAAAAACAGACGTTATAATGAAGGGTACTTCATAGCTTTAATTCCAGACTGTTTGAATTTATACTATTTGCCATGACCCTTTGGGTCAGATGACCTATAGCCATCGTTCTTTGTCCGTCATCGTCCGCTGTGCACCATGCATAAACTTTTGACATTTCAAACTTCTTTTCAAGTTCCAGCAGTGGGATTGAGTTGCAACTTACATGAAATGGTCCTGAGGGGGTTCTGAATAAGTATTAATATTTTTCCAGTTTGTCTGAAATTCAAGATGGCTGCTATCTTGAAAAACATATTTTAAATGTCTTTTCCAGTTCGACTGGTGCCATTGAGCTAAAAATTGGTGGGAATGTTAAGGAGAGGTAGCCAACAAAGTGTTGTTGATTGTGCAATCATGGTTTTCCTGTACAACACCTATTTCAAATTTCTCAAGTTTCACCAGTGGGATTAAGCTCCAACTTAACTATCAAAAAATATGTAGCACTTGTTACAGTTACCTACTCCTCACCAAAACTACCATCTGCATCATGGAAAACAGCTTCTTAGTAACAGTTCATTCAGAGTAGAAAACCTTCTCCCTGCTGAAAGTTTTTGTAGTCAGATGACTGGTAAGGCCCATGGGCCTCGTGTTCATAATTGTTATTATCAATTTTTTTTATTAATTATACCCCCCAGCAATGAAGATTTAGGGGGGGGAGGGTATACTGGAATCAGTTTGTCTGTCTATTCTATTGATTTCAAAGATATTTGCTGGCTATAACCCATATACATCGTAAATAATGTATCATGGAGATGTACATTATCTATAATAGGTTGAGTTCCTCCCCTTTTCAGAAAGTTATGTCCCTCCCTGTGGGAGGGGGTATGAGGTTACCCATGGATGACAGTTCTAGTTTATATTATCTGTTTTCCATGAAAGCATGAATTCTTTTTGGTTTACTGTATCTAAATAGCACGAGACATCACGATCATTCCATCAGGAACAGTCTTTATCAAAAGTACAGGGTCTTAGGAAATAAGCAAAGGCCATTGCAGGGTAATACTCCATACAACATAGAAGAATGTGATGATAGATGCCTTTCACTTTTATTATATAAATGCACCCTAGTTGTAATAATGGTTTCCATCGTTATTTCAGTCATTTCTTCACTGCTCACAAGATCATTATCAAAACTTGATAGTGCCCTTACAGTTCAATATCTATTTTGCATGACAACATTTTCTGTTCAAATCACTTATTTACAAGCTATTACAAGTACAAAGATAGTAAATATAGCTGAATGTTGTAAGAAAGCACAATGATAAAAATATACCTGTATATTGTGAGGTTTTGTTGATTAATGTAAAATGCTTATTTCTCTTAAAACATCATCAGTTAGCAGTAAACTATGTAGTTCATTGACTGCCTGAAAGCTGTATAAAGCATCACATTGATAGTTCCAGTGTTTATCTACACCTGCGTAGTATCACCTTGGATTCATTCATATGTCAACTTTCAGAAAAATTTTGTGCACACAAAACCTCCAAGACAAACTCATGACCGCAAAAGGCCACCAGTGAGTTAGGGTTAAAGTTCAACAGATTGGAGCTGATAGTTGTTTGTGTTATTTAATGTTTGATGTTGACATTTCATTTAGTTTTCTTAGTTTGTAAGGTTGATGTTTTGTTACTGTTTAATTATCCCCTATTTTTGAATGCGACTGTATTTTGTATTCCTGTGAATCAAATTATAAGACAAAACTCTTTCTGTGGTAAGTTGGTCAGACAAAACTCTGACTGTGGTGAGTTGGTCAGACAAAACTCTGATTGTGGTAAGTTGGTCAGACAAAACTCTGATTGTGGTAAGTTGGTCAGACAAAACTCTGATTGTGGTAAGTTGGTCAGACAAAACTCTGACTGTGGTAAGTTGGTCAGACAAAACTCTGACTGTGGTAAGTTGGTCAGACAAAACTCTGATTGTGGTAAGTTGGTCAGACAAAACTCTGATTGTGGTAAGTTGGTCAGACAAAACTCTGACTGTGGTAAGTTGGTCAGACAAAACTCTGACTGTGGTAAGTTGGTCAGACAAAACTCTGACTGTGGTGAGTTGGTCAGACAAAACTCTGATTGTGGTAAGTTGGTCAGACAAAACTCTGATTGTGGTAAGTTGGTCAGACAAAACTCTGACTGTGGTAAGTTGGTCAGACAAAACTCTGATTGTGGTGAGTTGGTCAGACAAAACTCTGATTGTGGTAAGTTGGTCAGACAAAACTCTGATTGTGGTAAGTTGGTCAGACAAAACTCTGATTGTAGTGAGTTGGTCAGACAAAACTCTGATTGTGGTAAGTTGGTCAGACAAAACTCTGATTGTGGTGAGTTGGTCAGACAAAACTCTGACTGTGGTGAGTTGGTCAGACAAAACTCTGACTGTGGTAAGTTGGTCAGACAAAACTCTGATTGTGGTAAGTTGGTCAGACAAAACTCTGATTGTGGTGAGTTGGTCAGACAAAACTCTGATTGTGGTAAGTTGGTCAGGAACTGTAAATAGATACTCGATGCCAATGTTGTCGTTGACCCACAAATATGCCCTTAATTATCGTCCATACCAATTTGCTCTCAACTGTACTTCTAGGTAAGTATCACCAAAGGAGCACCAGAATCTTTGAGTCTTTTATGGACATGAAATGGGCGGAGGTAAAGCAGTGTGTTTAGTGTCATGTGTTTCCAAAAACAGTTAGAGGCAAGAATTGTTCTTGGGTCAGTGTAATGATTACTGTAAAAAGTTAGAAGTAGGAGTGTCCAGGACATGTTTTTGGGTTGGTGTAATGGTTGTTGTAGAGGTAGAAGTAGGAGTGTCCAGGACATGTTTTTGGGTTGGTGTAGTGGTTGTTGTAGAGGTAGAAGTAGGAGTGTCCAGGACATGTTTTTGGGTTGGTGTAGTGGTTGTTGTAGAGGTAGAAGTAGGAGTGTCCAGGACATGTTTTTGGGTTGGTGTAGTGGTTGTTGTAGAGGTAGAAGTAGGAGTGTCCAGGACATGTTTTTGGGTTGGTGTAGTGGTTGTTGTAGAGGTAGAAGTAGGAGTGTCCAGGACATGTTTTTGGGTTGGTGTAGTGGTTGTTGTAGAGGTAGAAGTAGGAGTGTCCAGGACATGTTTTTTGGGTTGGTGTAGTGGTTGTTGTAGAGGTAGAAGTAGGAGTGTCCAGGACATGTTTTTGGGTTGGTGTAGTGGTTGTTGTAGAGGTAGAAGTAGGAGTGTCCAGGACATGTTTTTGGGTTGGTGTAGTGGTTGTTGTAGAGGTAGAAGTAGGAGTGTCCAGGACATGTTTTTTGGGTTGGTGTAGTGGTTGTTGTAGAGGTAGAAGAAGGAGTGTCCAGGACATGTTTTTGGGTTGGTGTAGTGGTTGGCGTAGTGGTTGGCGTAGTGGTTGGCGTAGTGGTTGGCATAGGGGTTGGCGTAGTGGTTGACGTAGGGGTTGGCGTAGGGGTTGGCGTAGTGGTTGGCGTAGAGTTAGATGTAGTAGTGTCCTGGACATGTTTTTGGGTTGGTGTAGTGGTTGGCGTAGTGGTTGGCGTAGTGGTTGGCGTAGTGGTTGGCATAGGGGTTGGCGTAGTGGTTGGCGTAGGGGTTGGCGTAGGGGTTGGCGTAGTGGTTGGCGTAGAGTTTGAAGACTTCAGAAATGTTTTCACACTTCCCACTGTTATACCATAAGAAAGAAACAGGTTTCATTATGACTATGAAATGTTGTAAAAATATTTGCATTTTTCGTTAGGACAATCCGGAGTTGTTTGCAATGATGGAGAAGACTCGGATGTACATCTTTAGGAATCTTGACCCGGAGGTAAATTTCCACAAACGATAACATTACCAGACTGTGTAAAGGTGTACATATTTATGGACCAATCTGAGTGTACATAATAATTATGAAAGCATCAATTTTGAGTGGATGATGATGATGATGATGATGATGATGATGATGATGATGATGATGATGATGATGATGATGATGATGATGATGATGATGATGATGATGAGTGTATGAGTACAAATAATCTTGATTGTTAGACATGCAATGACCAAATACATATGTGTACCAGTGTGTTGATCGTAAGTGTGTGTGTGAGGGTGTGTGTGAGGGTGTGACTGAGGGTGTGTGTGTGTTGATGTGTGAGGGTGTGTGTGAGGGTGTGTATATCATATCTACCATGTAAAATCTTGGAAAAATAGAAAATAAAAGAAAAAAGAATTAATAAAAAAATTACTAGTCTGACGTCAATGACGTCTTGACTCACTTCTACACTACTCTAAAATTACAGTCTTAGCCATATTTGAACATCACTTACATTTCCGTGTGTACCAACTTATTTGCAAGTCTTTACATCACTGTGATATTAAAGAATTTACACACTATGAGACCTTTCACGTCAAAGAGCAAATTTTTCTTCAGACTTACTATAAATTTAGATGTTTTTAATGAACTTAAATTTTGTTTTTTTTTTTTTTCAAAATTAAACAAAAGAACAAAAAACAAAAATAACTTTAAAAAAATGAAATAAACAGAACACTGTTTTTCATTGGCATTTGATTTAGTGGAGAAACAGTACTTCCTGAACAGAAATTTATGGGAATTTTTACAGGTTATCTTTTGTTTTCAAAGAAAATAATAAAAACTTAACACAAATGAGTTATTTTACAGTATAAACCAGATCAAATTATGATTAAATTAAGATGATCTAGTTATAAACTAGATTTATTCTTTAAAAAGCAAAAAAAGTGGAGAAAAGTTATATTTGATGAGATGAGAGATAAGAATGATCTACTTTGTGAAAGTGGAACATTGAATATATTATCAGCCTGACCTTAATTTGAATGTAATGCAGCAAAACCCTTAACCTTGTTTACAGTAAGCTTTATACTATGAACTTTGACTTTGACAGGAACCAATCCTGAGCAGTGGTTACATCTGTCAGTTCAACGACCTAACTATCAAGTCAGTACTTCTGGACGAGATCATGAAAGACCCTGAGAACCCTACTAAAGACAATATGGCTGAGATGGAGATTAAGGTGAAGATCTCAGAAAAATCATTGAGTTAGGAAGGTCACAGCCGATTCCTTACCATCTTGTGCACTACATACGTCAGTGCTACTATGCTCCACACTGATCTGATGAAGGTGGTAGTGTAGTCATTGAAACGTAACACTCTAATCTTCTATGGACATTACGAAGAGAATGTTTCAGACAGGTCACAGCCTAAAAATATGAAAATTGTAGCCATTTCTGTTAGTTGATTATTGTTGATGTATCAGCACACTCGTGTATAGCACACACTCCTGTATAGCACACACTCATGTATAGCACACACTGGTGTATAGTGCACACTCGTGTATAGTGCACACTCGGTGTATAGTGCACACTCGTGTATAGTGCACACTCGTGTATAGCACACACTCATGTATAGCGCACACTCGTGTATAGCACACACTCGTGTGCTATACACGAGTGTATAGCACACACTCGTGTATAGTGCACACTGGTGTATAGTGCACACTCGTGTATAGCACACACTCGTGTATAGTGCACACTCGTGTATAGTGCACACTCGTGTATAGTGCACACTCGTGTATAGTGCACACTCATGTATAGCACACACTCGTGTATAGTGCACACTCGTGTATAGTGCACACTCGTGTATAGTGCACACTCGTGTAAAGTGCACACTCGTGTAAAGTGCACACTCATGTATAGCACACACTCGTGTATAGTGCACACTCCTGTAAAATACACACTCGTGTAAAGTGCACACTCATGTAAAGCACACACTCGTGTATAGCACACACTCATGTATAGTGCACACTCCTGTATAATGCAAACTCGTGTATAGCACACACTCATGTATAGTGCACACTCCTGTATAATGCACACTTGTGTATAGCACACACTCATGTATAGCACACACTCGTGTATAGTGCACACTCGTGTATAGTGCACACTCGTGTATAGCACACACTCGTGCATAGTGCACACTCCTGTATAATGCACACTCGTGTATAGTGCACACTCGTGTATAGCACACACTCGTGTATAGTGCACACTCCTGTATAGCACACACTCGTGTATAGTGCACACTCCTGTATAGTGCACACTCGGTGCACACTCATGTATAGTGCACACTCGGTGCACACTCGTGTATAGTGCACACTCGTGTATAGCACACACTCATGTATAGTGCACACTCCTGTATAATGCACACTCGTGTATAGTACACACTCATGTATAGTGTGCAGGTACATTTTTTGGATGAGATTTAAACAAAAAAAAATTGAAAAGTATATATGATATAAATATTGATTACAGGTTACCACAGTGCAGCAGTTGATGTTTTGATCCATCGATAATTAGGAAACTGCAACGAGCGTGACCCTAACATATATGATTACCTTATGTAAACAAATTCACTCAGGTGCCTGACTTAACAAGCATAAAAGACTTGGCTAATTGGATAATTAATGGTTATTAACAGGCAACATGTTGAGTATGAGGAGATTGACAACATCTGGCTTAAGCTGAATGCGTGCTATTGCTGTTTTTCCTTCGTGCATAATAACGAAAATGATCGGTGACTTTTTAGTGAAAAATAACTTCAGTGCAATGAACTGCTTCCTACTTAGTGCTCTAAGGATTTATCAGTCATAAGGGTTTTTTTAATATATATATAGGAAATAATCAATTGCATTTTAACATTCAAAATTTACTTTATTCTTTGTTGTTTTTGTCACCAATCTATCAAATATAACCGACGACTCTAAATATAACTACATGAAGGGAGGTAATTCAATATGGTGGACAGAGAACCCGAGAATGGCATGTTCCTGTGTATAATACACATTCCCTTTTTGATGCAACAGTTTTTGCCGAAAAAAGTGTGCACTATTAGCACAAATTTACAGTATAGAAAATAAGATAATTGTTTATAGCATAACAGTACAGCATTTGTAATCAGCCCATGTCTGTTGACGAACCCATCCACATCATTTGTAGTTTTAGTAATTATTTCAATACAGCAATTGGTTCATCATCCTTTAATAAGCCTGCCTTACTACTATAGATCAGAGTATATGTGTTGGTTCCCCAGTCTTACTGTGAGAGAGGTATCAAAGGACAAATTTAGAAGGTGATGGAGAAACAGAAGTAATCATAAAGATGTGTCACTAGATTTGAGATATTGAAATGTACGTTAAACTGTTAAGTACACGACAAAGGGGCTGTGATAGCTCAGTTGGTTAAAGCATTGTAATCTCAGGTGAGATCAGATGTATTGATATCAATGTTAACACAATGTCTTTATTCCGCAGTCTCTGAGGGACACCAGGGATCTGCTGGAGAAAGTTGGGATCGCTGACGCTCAGCAGTTTATTGAGGATAATCCACACCCAAGATTATGGTAAGATCATAAATTGTGATGATTGTGCAACTCTCTGTAATACTACATGTTTAACCAAAAGAAACATGTAAGAACGTTTTCATTTGTTAATATTCTGGTAAGAAAACAAATTACTGTAAAGGTTTCTAGTAAGGGTTCAATTTGTCATTTTCATGATTGGTTTTTGAATTTCTGAATATGAGAAAAAAAAAACATGAAAAATGAAAATGTTAGAGGAAACAGAAACCAAGTTTCTGAATTTGATAAAGAATACATTCTCTTTGGCTTTAATATAGTTTTGATAAAACTGACAAAATATTGAACCATTCAACAGTAATCCAGTTCCCAAATTTGAAATTATGTTTATTGAAATTTGGTGTTTTTATTTAGTATCAAATGTGTTGTCCATCCTGTTTGACAGATTAATACCTGACAATTTCAGAACGGTCTCAGATTCATTCAAGATGTTTTCTTCCAAAAACTATAGTTTAGGACCTACAAAATTATGTCATTGGCTCTAAATTAAAACTGCAAAATGATCTTTCATAAAATAACTTTATATTATATTTGTATCTATTTGTAGGAGATTACTCGCTGAGTCAGCACTTGAACAGCTCAACCTCAAAGTGGCAGAGACAGCATTCGTCCGTTGTCGTGATTATCAAGGGATCGAATTTGTGAAGCGATTAGGAAATCTTCAGGTAAAGAGGTTACATTCTTCTAATCAACACAAGTGTTCTTTTTTTTGTTTTAGGTAAGAGAAAGGCTTAGATTTTAACCTTACTTTGATGTTGTTGTGAATCAAGATCCTCATCACATTTTTTCATGGTAATGTTACAGGAAATAATTATCTTTCATTCCTGTTTGATATCAACAATTAAATCTCCTTTCTTTGGAAAAGATTTTTGTGGTTCTCCCTTTTGCACTGATCTCAGCCTCAGAAATCTTGCCCATGTGAAATATTCTATTCATATCATACAAAACAAATTATTGATTTTGTTACTAACACCAGCCTTTAATGTTTATGGCTTGTTGTATCCACTGTATGTTATTGTAACCGGTGTAGCCCTTGCCTTCTGCTTCACAATCATTGCAGGCAGGAAATTTGATCTAGTTTAATACTTGTGATATTTATCCTTACTATCTAATCTCATTAGACCTGTGCAGGAAGAAGATCCCTGTTGTATCTCACTATGTGTTGTAATAGTAATTGTAGGGCACTCACTTACATGTTGAGGGTGGTTTCTCTGATATCTGTTAAAGGGACATTCAAGATCCCAAAATATAATGTCTGATTTATTTCGCTGTCCCCCTAAAGAATTGGCGGTTCTGTTCCACGTCTTCATCAAGAGGTCGTTGAAGAGACCAAATTTGATCTGCTGCCCCTCTTGCAACACTTCGCTCTGCACAAACAGAAGCCTTATCTTCTAATACTACCGTGTTTACATTCATTAACTCATCATCTTTTCATCAAAATGTTTTATTGATTTATTTTTTCGTAGAATGAGAACATGAAGCAGGCTGAAGTGGCAGCATATTTTCGTAGGTTTGAGGAGGCAGAAAGGAAATACCTTGATATGGACAGACGGTAAGATGAATGAATTGTGATCACTTTGTTTTCTTTACTGATATAAGAATATCTCCAGTCTCTTTTTGATCCTTTGTACTTTTGCTGACTGAAATCTTATGTTGTACCTGTGTTTTGCCCAGAGATCTTGCGGTCAGTCTGAGGAAGAAGTTAGGAGACTGGTTCCGTGTCGTCCAGCTATTAAAGACAGGATCAGGCGGAGACGATGTACAACTAGAGGAGGCGTGGAATGCCATTGGTGACTACTATGCTGATCGTCAAAAATGGTAAGGAAACAAGAATAAAGTTGAAGTATGTATATAAATCCTGAGATACTATAAAATTGTAAACGTACAGAGCTCTAATTTCATGAACTATGCCATGAAGGACATGTGTTTGAGTCTTTAATGGAAAAAAACCGCTTGAAATATATGTATTTGAACATCATGTTTAGGCTTCAGGTAATTTCTCATTAAAAAAATGTTGTTGCTTTTAAACACAGACTTCAAAAACTTTTTTTTTAAAAACCCTTTTGTAAATTCTGCACAATTTAGTTAATTTGCAGACTTCTGTCTTTTCTCCCTTTGTATGCTGTGTAAACATAATCAATATGCTAGAAAAATGAAAACTTTTAAAGAGAAAATATGCCATGTTTGTTGTGGAGTTGAAAATTTTGTTTGTTGTCACCCTTACAGGCAGCAGGCAGTGACATACTACGTACAGGGACGTAACCAGGAACGTCTAGCAGAGTGCTATTACATGCTGGAGGATTACACAGGACTGGAAAAGATGGTTCAGGCTTTACCAGAAAACCACAAACTGTTACCGGTATAAATTAAACACTTACATCTGAAGTATTGAAACATTATCAACTTTTAAAGTTAAACTTTACTCTATTACAAAATAAACATATGTACAAAATAGCATAAATCTGATTCATCTATAATCTTATTCAAGGTCAAAATTTCAAAAATATCTTGTTTACTTCATGTATACATCAGAGTGAAACCAGTTTTGCGGGTGAGGACAAAAGTGAAATTGGTTTACTGGACAGGTTCACAAGAGGTTTTATTATCTGAAACTGCTGTATAAAATTGTTCAGTTGGTACAAGTTCCAGCTGAAGAATATTGTCATTATAGCCTTTCTCAAAATAGGATTTCTTTGGCAAAATCATTTACTTTTTTCTTTGCATTTCATGAAAATAATATGGATGTTTTTATACAAGTAAGGTGACAATTATGGCCCATCTGACACATCTTATAGAGTTAAAAGTCATTAGCCTTTCTGTTTGAAAGTGGTTTTGATTAATTAAGTTAAGATATATTACAATATTATCTGACATGAACGTTTCCTGTTTCGTTGATGAATAAGACAGCTGTGTTATAATATCTTTTCTGTTTGTGTTCAGGATATAGCAGCCATGTTTGTTACCGTGGGGATGTGTGAACAGGCTGTAGGTGCCTATTCTAAGGTAAGTTTATCTTGATGTGTAAACCAATCACAGGACTTAATCAGACTAGAAAAATCTCCAATAGGAGAAATTTCCAAAAAGAACAAACATCCTGCTAATTTTTGTGTTGTGGTTGATCTAGGCTTTAGGGGGAGATCTAGTAGTACAAAGAGTCTCTTCAAAATTAGTAAACAACTAAAAAATAAAAAGATGAAGCTAGTTGTTGATATGTTCTGTCCTGAAAGGCAGACAGGCTGTCAGAAAATGCCAGGAATTTCTGGTTAATGTATGTACCTGTTAAAGAATATTGGTAGCCTTCAGTGTTTAAGTGCTAAGTTCATCCAAAATGATTATAAACAGCAAATAAAATCTATCATATTCTGGCAAAAATAGGATTAGTGCTTGAATATGTATATAAGTAGTACTTCATTTGTAATTGTAATAAGCTCACCCAAACATATAACCCTGAGGTAACATTACAAAGAGGTGACAAAAATCATTTCTCAGTCATATATTTCATTACTAATTATTCATTAGTACTGTTTCCGAGAATTTTGGCCTTTTTTTTAATTTTATTTTTTTGTTTGGGATGAAACAGTAAAATATTTCATCAACTGTAATAAGCCCACCCCTGACTTGGGGTCAAAGGTGAAGTGTTTGGCTATTGGACTGATTGTAAGATTTATACAAATATAAGGACAAGATATATATAGGATCCTACATGTGTTTCTGCTTGATATAAGATTTATGAAACAAAGAATTTACTATTTTAGCGACCTTTTACAAGCTTAATGAAAAATTTGTGATGAGTCGCATAAATCATAGTGGCCCGTTGTTGAAGTAAATCATTTCTGCTGTATATTCATGGTTGCCATGGTTACATCACATCTGTAGGTGTGACATCATGTCATTACCAAGACTCCACATCTCACAATAAACTATATTACACAGAATATTACATAGTTATATTCGCTGTATAACAAGCTAATCATGTGATAATGGTTTTTTAATCTCCGATGTTTTTGTGTTATTTTTAGTGTAACCATATAAAGAAGGCCATTGACTGTTGTGTCCATCTGAACCAGTGGAACATGGCCATAGAACTGGCAAAAAGCAACAACGTACGTGAAATTGACTCTCTACTGGCCAAATATGCCCAGCATCTTCTGGAGAAAAACAAGACTGTCAATGCTATAGAACTTTACAGAAAGGCTGGACACTACCTAGAGGCAGCGAAACTCTTGTTTAAGGTCAGTTTTACTAGACACGGTCAAACTCCAGTTTAGGGTCAGTTTTACTCGAGGTGGTAAAACTCTCTTTTAGGGTCAGTTTTACTAGAGGCCGCCAAACTCCTGTTTAAGTTCAGTTTTCCTAGAGGCTGCCAAAGTCTGTCCTGTTTGAAGTCAGGTTTTTTTTTAAGCAACTTGATTTCTGAGAGAAAATTTAATCAACATTTCCTCTACTATTTTTTGTGAGATTTGAGTGAAATCTTTTCCAGAAATTTATGTATAGAGGGGTAAGGAAGATATAAGTAATGGCAAATGTGGATGGAAGGGTCTACAGTGATAGCTTACAAGGGAAGAATAAGCCTAGCAGAAAAATAATTATAGGACATGGGGCAGTATCCCCTTACCACCCCTCCTCCCCTTGTTTATTTATGGAATAGCCCAAAAGTTCCATTGTGGAAATGGGAATCATGCTGCTTTTTGTGTGTTGTAATCCCTTTGACAACACCTAGAGAAAGTACCTAGAAATGTAAAACCTTTATAATGTCACTGGACTCAGAATATTCTCTTCCATGCCATATTTCTATTTTTTGTTAGTTGAACATGAAAGGCCTTGATATTCAGAAAATTTCCACACAAGCTTCCTTTGACATCTGAATCTACCAAACAACATCATCAACAGACTCCTACAGTGTCCTAAAATCTTCAGTAAAAGTCACATATTAGTTGTTGAAATTTCATCACATATGCCTCAAAATTATTCCAGTATTAGAGGGTTATGCAGGTAGATACTAAAGAATAATGTCAGATAATAAATTGGATTCTTTCACGACAAGGAAATTTGAATGTGTGCGCCTCCAAATTGTTCAAATATTAATGGGTTAATCTGTATGATACTTGGCACTTTGTCAAAGACAGAACAATAATGTTGCATAATAAATTGGCCTGTTTCAAAGCAAGCTTTCATCACATCAAAATTGTGTAACATGTTAGAGGAATACTTATGATAGACACACACAGACGGCACAATAGTGTCACAATGAATTTCCCTCTTTCACGACAAGAAAATTTGATTGTTTACATCTCAAAATTGTTCAAATGTTAGAGGGATAATGTGTGAGATACCTATCATAGATATTACATCATAGACAGCTCTATGATGTCCAGTGAAAAAGTGGCTTCTTTCACAGCAAGAAACTTTTTATAACATGAGATAACAAATGGGCCACCTAACTGACCAGCTGTTTCTTTCACTGCGAGAAACATTTTTTCACAGTCAGTGTAGTAACTTCAGACAATAAACCTGTGGATATTATGTTATAACATTGGACTAAAATCATTACACATGAATTTTGTTCTTGGTTATAGCTCTATTATACAGATGACTGTCTGTTTAGAATTCTACCGTCTTGCTGTTGGACAAAAGTGTAAAAATAATTAATTTAAAAATAAATAAAAAAAATTTTGTTTAATATATATACATATAGTACAATGCCAATATTTAAAGTTGAGCTCTCCTGTTTTCTTCCATTACAGATGGCACAGGAGCAAGCGAAGAAGAGAGAAAAACCACTCCATATCAAGAAAATGTTTGTTTTGGGAGGCCTCCTTATAGAGCAGTACCATGAACAGATGAAGATGACCTCAAGGGCAAAGGTCAAGGACAAGAAGGGTGCCATGGTAACATATTATCTGTGATTAGATTTTTAGTCCCCGGCCATAAAATTGCCCATGTCTCTCCTGTCATTTCCTCTCCCGATTCAATGTCAGCACCTGGCAACAGGTGCTTTATGTATAGAAAATATTAACCAGTTCAATTTGAACACTTAGTTACTTTGTTCTTTCATGGATTTTGGTCAAACTTTATGCAAATATCATTTATGAGTAAACATCAGACATTGTTGTGTTTTAGAGGCTTAAGGTCATGGCCAAGGTCACCCGTGCAATATATAGAATATTATTAATTGATTCAATTTAAACACTTAGAAACTTTATTCTTTCATGGAATTTGGTCGAACTGTGTTCCAGGATCAAGTATAAGTACACTTTGGACATTATTGTGTTTCAGGGGTCTGAAGTCAACATCTTGACAGCAGAGGCATTTATGTCTTACAGGCATTTTCTAGTTATAGTAGTGACAGTTAAATAACACAGACAAATTCATACTGTGAATGTTTTTCATTTTTTGTGGTGTTCTATTTTCAACCATTTTCAAGAATAGGAAAACAAAGAAGCACAAAAAGATAACTTGAGAATGATATGGATAGACTTAAGTGTAGAATACACTTTTTTCTTCGAGCTTTTATTAAAACTTAAGATATTTGAACCATCAAAAAATACAAAAAACAATTTACAAAACCCAATAACTAAACAGTGTAGTAGCATTCTTCTGTTATAGAAATATTTTCCTGCTTTGTGAATTTTCCTCACATACAAAAACAAACGGAGTCACCACTCACATGGGTACATCCTCCTTTACCTGATGAAAGAGATCAAGGATGACCTTTGACCTTTAACCTTGACCAATGATCACCAAATTCTAATCAGTTGTAGAGCTTGGTGGTTTATGATGCAGTGATGTTTATATGAACTTATCTACACAGGGGTTAGTGAGATGATATATATTCCTGTTTACAAAGTTATCACACACAGATACACAGTGATTACTATGTACCTGTCATAGGTAAATGTAGGGTTATAATTATAAGACATGGTTAATTTCCTTAACCTCTGTATCAAGTGATCTTTTGTATCTCTTCTGTTACAGGCTGCATCTGCATTGGCTGGATTCTTGGAGGAGGATACCACGGCAATTACAGACAGTAAACTGATAGACAATGCCTGGAGGGGAGCTGAGGCATACCATTTCTATATCCTGGCTCAGAGACAGTTACTGGAGGGTGAGTAGGAGGGAGGGGGGCTGGGGCCTATCAGTATAATATCCTGGCTCAGAGACAGGTACTGGAGGGTGAGTAGGAGAGGGGCTGGAGCCTATGAGTTCTATATCCTGGCTCAGAGACAGTTACTGGAGGGTGTGTGTGGAGGGGGGAGGGCTGGAGCCTATGAGTTCTAGATCCTGGCTCAGTGATAGTTACTGGAGGGTGTGTAGGAGGGAGGGGGGCTGGAGCCTATCAGTTCTATATTCTGACTCAGATACAGTTACTGGAGGGTGAGTAGGAGGGAGGGGGCTGGAGCCTATGAGTTCTATATCCTGACTCAGAAACAGTTACTGGAGGGCGAGTAGGAGGGAGGGCTGGAGCCTATCAGTTCTATATCCTGACTCAGAGACAGTTACTGGAGAGTGTGTGGGGGGGGGGGGGAGGGCTGGACCCTATCAGTTCTATATCCTGGCTCAGAGACAGTTACTGGAGGGTGTGTGGGAATGGGGGCTGGGGCCTATCAGCTCTATATCCTGACTTAGAGACAGTTACTGGAGGGTGTGTGGGGAGGGGGCTACCTTTAGTCACTGGTAGGTGAGAATTGTCGTTACCCGGAATTTGGGTTAGCTTTATTGTTAAAGAGTTTCCCTAAGAGCAGTGCTTTGATTCAGACAGATTATTGTAATATGAAGTGACCTATTAGGGATATTTTGGCCTGTCTGATACTGTTTCAGTGACTTTTATTAGCAATAATTGTTTGAATTGTTACAGGATATGTGGACGCTGCCATGAGGACAACGCTCTTCCTTCGAGAATATGATGACATCATTGATGCTGTTGACATCTACTCATTACTGGGTGAGAGTTATGCTCTAATCTCTACTGTAGAAACTCACCATTACTGAAGTGTAAAAGTTACTGCTTTGAAGCTCAAAAGAAATTTAAAAATTACCGTTATATCAGAAAAATTTTTTTTTCTTTGTTATATACATCAATATATATGTGTATGTTTGTTTTTTTTTATTCTTGCTTATTTTTCTGTCCATAGCTCTGACTTCTAGTGCCAACAAGGCATTTGGAACATGTTCCAAAGCTTTTATCAAGCTTGAAACCCTAGATACATTGTCTCAGGACCAACGACAAGCTTATGAGGAACTTGCCCTGGAAATATTCACAAAGTAAGACATCTAAATTCTGAGTTTGTCACTAAACGATACAGCTTCAATATATTGTACTTAGCCTTGTAATATCACAGTGCAGAGTAAAATGGCACCACAAAAAAATCTGCATTTGAAAATAGAAGTTTGAGAAATAATAGCTACATGTTCAGATAATGTTATGTCTGTGATGTGTTTAATTCTGACATAAATCAAAGGTCAACATTATTATGTTGAATAGTATTTTGGATTCGAGATTGTCGCTATCACCATTATACTTGTCTTATGACTTATTTTGACTAATTTATATGTTCAGGATCATATTTCTGTAGTTAGTCATTTATGCAGAAAAATACTGAACATAATTTATTTTGTCATTTTTACATGAACTTTATATTTCTGATTATGTATTATTGTTTTTTAAATCCATTCCATAACAAACAAACAACAAACAATAAATATTTATCTTTAAAGGAAAAGCCCAAAAGACAGCCGGACAAACAAGGTTGAGTGTACTAGCTGTGCTACAAGCATTCCTGACTGGTAAGTCTTGGTCTCTCAAATGTTTTTTTTTTTTTTTTAATATTTCTTTATCAAATAAAAGCTTAGTCAACAGTTATGTAGAACTTAAGTCTGTTCTCAGCACTCAGCTGATAGAGATTTGACAAGAAAATATTTGAAATGAGAAAAGATTTGTTTACATGAATATTCTTTAATCATTTTGTTATGTTATGTCTGATATTGTTGAGTTAAGTCAGTAGCAGGCAATGTTAACACTTTTAATTGACTTGTTTTCCAGGTCAACAGTTTGTCCCAACTGTGACACAAAGTTCCCTACCTGTATTGTGACAGGGCGGCCATTGATGGAGTACCAATTCTGGATGTGCAGTGCTTGTAAACATCGTGCTTATGAGTCAGAGATCACGAACAGACAGACATGTCCTCTGTGTCATACTCCTGTCTAACACCTCCCCAACTTAAGTGATTTCTAATGAAGGCGTGATCAAATCTATCAAAGAAAACTTTATTTTTCATTTAGGAACATTCATTTGTTTACCTGGTATTCATAACTGTATGTCTGATTATGTTGTTGCTATGAGACTGTCGTCTGACTAGCAACTGTAAACCAACGCTTGTGTCATTTCCTTAGTGAAAGTAAATCACCACTAATTAAGATGAGACAATAATACTATGTAATAGTGTTGATGGGGAACGTTCTGCAAGTAATCACTAAAATTCACAGAAAGTGGGTTTCCCAATCAGTATCATTTTCCTTCTGCTTCAGTAGTATTCAATCAGTGCAAAGATTTCTATCCTTTTAATGTTTTAATGTAGAGCAACATAAGGTTTTAGAGTGATGAGTGTTATACCACTCTCTAGCTTATACTGCTTCACTGAAGTGTACTATACCGACAAGCTTTTACTGTCCATCAGTCTATGTTTTTATTCATTTGTCAGTAACAGGCCTCTTGTGGGTATTCTCTAGTGATCTACCTTTGCTAGGTTTTATATCTGTAAGGAATGTAAATGATTGCTTACTGAAATTGGTCTTGTTGATGATATCAAGAGTTTTGACCCTTGGTGAAACTTTCCATAAACATTTGTAGGGCGTGGGAAATGGGGACCAGCAGTCTTTGTTTTATTGATGTACAAGCTGACTCAGTAGTAAGATTTTGTCAAATTCTTGTACATGTATTATTTACCAGCATTTTGCGGTATGTCACGGTGACCATGTGGTTAAGATGTCTGACCATCTTTTTCACTCACCCTCCATCTCTTTGTCGTGGGTTCGAGGTTTACATGGGGCAGTTCCCAGATACTGGCTGCATGGTGGTGTTCTTTCTGCGGGAGCTCGAACTTTCCGCCACCATTTAAATCTTACACATCCTCAAATGATTCTGACTGTTAATAGGACGTAAAACAGCAATAAACTTCACCAAATTGTGGTGATCTGAATTCGCACGTACAATTGTAGCTCATCATACACTAACGTCATGTTGTGATATCTTGGTTTTTATTTATTAATAACTATGTTTCAAAATACTTTAAGTTATATTATGAAATCATCTGACATTTATTGTAATATTTTTTCTGATAATCATACTTTTTTTCCGTTATAAAATTGACAAGTGTTCATTACCAGCTAGGTATTGTGACATTTTGTAGTTATGTTTAGGTATAATATTATTTTGAATTATTTTGTTTTGAGTTATGAAACTTTCAAGTCATTACAAGTTATGTAATGTGATAACTGTGCTTTGAGGATTGAAGAGAGTAAGTTGAAATCAAATACACTGAACCTAATTTTTATGCAGTGGTGGAGCTTTCTTGGTCTCAACCCATAATATACATACCTTCCAGGTGTTCCGTCCAATTAATTATTATAATCTGTCAATTTCCCTTACGAAATACATTTACATTCCTATCTCTGCTATATAAAGATTTCGGTTGTGAGGGGAGGGAAAGGGGATGCTTCTAGATGTAATCCCTCTTTCTTCACCTGTGTTAATTTTCACATAAATATGTCACAGTGATTTAAGGTAAAATCAAAGGGTTTGTGTTATACAAAACAGAATAATTGTCACTTTGTGTAAGAATTGTGATGGTAAGTCTGACACAGATGTATTTACATTTTTTATGTAAGAAAATGACTTCTATCAGTTGTGAAATAAATTTTCATCTGAAATAAAACTTTTTTATGAATGTCTATAGAATTGTTTTTTTTCTGACTGCAGATTAGTGTAATAAAATTAGAAAGATAACTGTTCTTGTAAACAATACCATCTCCCATACAGAAACATTTATTTCTAAAATATTTACATACCAGTCAAGAGATAACATGAATTTTACATCTGACCCTTTATCTTGTTCTGTCACCTTTCTTCTTCATGATGCTAGAACAAAATATTTATCAGTAAGAAAAAGGCCTTTAATAGTGATGTTGATACTGGGGTAGGTTAATTTAATTTTTCATTATTTTTTTGTCAAGTGTTTTTGATCAACTTTGATTCATAAAATTATGAAGAAATACCAAGGCTGATTGATAAGTTACGAGCCTTGTATTAAAGAAATGAAGAAGGGGTGTCCTTTTTCTGAGTACATTCCATTCTTACAGAAGGTCTTGCAATGAGAAAGTTTTCAGCCTGTTGGGTACCAAGACTTCTGACAGTTGATCAGAAGCACACCAGGTCGATTTTGTCAAGTGCTCATCTGAACCTGAATCCTACGAACTTTCTGTAGAGGTTTGTGACTATAAATGAAATATGGCTTCACCATTTCACCCCAGAGGCCAAACAACAGTCAAAACAATGGAAGCACCCTGGTTCAGCCCCTCCAAAGACTGTTCCATCACTGTGAAAGGTTATGGCCTTAGTTTTTTTTATTCTGATGGTAGATTATCTGCAAAAACCATCAATGGCAAATATTATGTATCACTTCTTAGGCAGTTAAGAGAAAATAATAAACTCCAGCAATCCCATGGTTGCCATTAATGATTGTGGCTGTGAATTGACAGAGCATCCTCATTCACCTGATCTCGCTCGATCAGACTTTCATCTATTTCCAAAATTGAAAAAGCCCAGTACCCATTTTTAGTCATATGATGAAGTCATACATGCAGTGGAGGATTTTCTGAACGGTCAAGAAAATTCTTTAAAAGTGGCAATGAGGCCCTTAATCATCATGGACAAAAGTTTATAGATACTGAAGGAGATTATGTTGAAAAATAATGCAAAATGTCCACCAAACTTCAAAACCCTTAAATATGAGGCTCACAACTTATCAATCAGTCCTCATATATACCCATCCGGGTAATAGTAACGATTAAAATTTGACCTTGACCCTTGACTTGACCAAGCTGACATGTAATGGGTGACTTGTTAATGGATTTTAGTCAATTCTTCCCATAATGTGATAAAATTTGTCAGAAGAAATATTGTGTAGATTTTTATTTCAAGAAGCCAGAACCTTCAGTAAAAGCTAGATCACAGGTGACATTAACTACAGTGTAATGAAAATGACTGGTAGTAATGTACAAGTACAGTGTATTAACATATATCTGAACTGGTTTAAGAGAAATAGGTTTGAAAACATTATGTCCTTATTTGACATTTGACCTCGAGGCGAATGTCACAGTGGCCTACTCTATCGACTGACCTATCAAGTCCCTATTGTTGTAACAGACAAAAAGACGCCAGAAAATGCCATGGAGAATTTCAAGAAAAATATTTATTTTGATGAAAATAAATAACTGACACCATTACAGTTTTTGAGCACAAAAAAAATCTGAAAAAATGTATTTAAATGACACGAACATGACCGGCAAATTCTGAAATGATCATAGCACCATGGTACAATGGAGGCAAACAAAAAGTCTGTAGTATAGATACAGAAGTTGTGGCTGGTATCAGTAGGGACTCAAACAAAAAGCCGGTAGTACAGATACAGAAGTTGTGGCTGGTATCAGTAGGGTCTCAAACAAAAAGTCTGTAGTACAGATACAGAAGTTGTGGCTGGTATCAGTAGGGTCTCAAACAAAAAGTCTGTAGTACAGATACAGAAGTTGTGGCTGGTATCAGTAGGGACTCAAACAAAAAGTCTGTAGTACAGATACAGAAGTTGTGACTGGTATCAGTAGGGTCTCAAACAAAAAGTCTGTAGTATAGATACAGAAGTTGTGGCTGGTATCAGTAGGGTCTCAAACAAAAAGTCTGTAGTACAGATACAGAAGTTGTGGCTGGTATCAGTAGGGACACAAACAAAAAGTCTGTAGTATAGATACAGAAGTTGTGACTGGTATCAGTAGGGTCCTGGACTCAAACAAAAAGTCTGTAGTACAGATACAGAAGTTGTGACTGGTATCAGTAGTATAGATACAGAAGTTGTGGCTGGTATCAGATACAGAAGTTGTGGCTGGTAGGGACTCAAACAAAAAGTCTGTAGTACAGATACAGAAGTTGTGGCTGGTATCAGTAGGGTCTCAAACAAAAAGTCTGTAGTACAGATACAGAAGTTGTGGCTGGTATCAGTAGGGTCCTGGACTCAAACAAAAAGTCTGTAGTACAGATACAGAAGTTGTGGCTGGTATCAGTAGGGTCCTGGTCTCAAACAAAAAGCCGGTAGTACAGATACAGAAGTTGTGACTTGTATCAGTAGGGACTCAAACAAAAAGTCTGTAGCAGAAAAAGTTGTCTGGTATCAGTAGGGACTCAAACAAAAAGTCTGTAGTACAGATACAGAAGTTGTGACTCAAACAAAAAGTCTGGTATCAGTAGTTGTCTGGTATCTGGACTCAAACAAAAAGTCTGTAGTACAGATACAGAAGTTGTGGCTGGTATGTAGGGTCTCAAACAAAAAGTCTGTAGTACAGATACAGAAGTTGTGGCTGGTATCAGTAGGGTCCTGGACTCAAACAAAAAGTCTGTAGTACAGATACAGAAGTTGTGGCTGGTATCAGTAGGGACTCAAACAAAAAGTCTGTAGTATAGATACAGAAGTTGTGGCTGGTATCAGTAGGGTCCTGGACTCAAACAAAAAGTCTGTAGTACAGATACAGAAGTTGTGGCTGGTATCAGTAGGGACTCAAACAAAAAGTCTGTAGTACAGATACAGAAGTTGTGGCTGGTATCAGTAGGGTCCTGGACTCAAACAAAAAGTCTGTAGTACAGATACAGAAGTTGTGGCTGGTATCAGTAGGGTCCTGGACTCAAACAAAAAGTCTGTAGTACAGATACAGAAGTTGTGGCTGGTATCAGTAGGGACACAAACAAAAAGTCTGTAGTATAGATACATAAGTTGTGGCTGGTATCAGTAGGGTCCTGGACTCAAACAAAAAGTCTGTAGTACAGATACAGAAGTTGTAGCTGGTATCAGTAGGGTCTCAAACAAAAAGTCTGTAGTATAGATACATAAGTTGTGGCTGGTATCAGTAGGGTCTCAAACAAAAAGTCTGTAGTACAGATACAGAAGTTGTGGCTGGTATCAGTAACTCAAACAAAAAGTCTGTAGTACAGATACAGAAGTTGTGGCTGGTATCAGTAGGGTCTCAAACAAAAAGTCTGTAGTACAGATACAGAAGTTGTGGCTGGTATCAGTAGGGTCCTGGACTCAAACAAAAAGTCTGTAGTACAGATACAGAAGTTGTGACTGGTATCAGTAGGGTCTCAAACAAAAAGTCTGTAGTACAGATACAGAAGTTGTGGCTGGTATCAGTAGGGTCCTGGACTCAAACAAAAAGTCTGTAGTACAGATACAGAAGTTGTGGCTGGTATCAGTAGGGTCTCAAACAAAAAGTCTGTAGTACAGATACAGAAGTTGTGGCTGGTATCAGTAGGGTCTCAAACAAAAAGTCTGTAGTACAGATACAGAAGTTGTGACTGGTATCAGTAGGGTCTCAAACAAAAAGTCTGTAGTATAGATACAGAAGTTGTGACTGGTATCAGTAGGGTCTCAAACAAAAAGTCTGTAGTACAGATACAGAAGTTGTGACTGGTATCAGTAGGGTCTCAAACAAAAAGTCTGTAGTACAGATACAGAAGTTGTGGCTGGTATCAGTAGGGTCCTGGACTCAAACAAAAAGTCTGTAGTACAGATACAGAAGTTGTGGCTGGTATCAGTAGGGTCTCAAACAAAAAGTCTGTAGTACAGATACAGAAGTTGTGACTGGTATCAGTAGGGACACAAACAAAAAGTCTGTAGTACAGATACAGAAGTTGTGGCTGGTATCAGTAGGGTCCTGGTCTCAAACAAAAAGTCTGTAGTACAGATACAGAAGTTGTGGCTGGTATCAGTAGGGTCTCAAACAAAAAGTCTGTAGTACAGATACAGAAGTTGTGGCTGGTATCAGTAGGGTCTCAAACAAAAAGTCTGTAGTACAGATACAGAAGTTGTGGCTGGTATCAGTAGGGTCTCAAACAAAAAGTCTCAAACAAAAAGTTGTAGTATCAGATACAGATACAGAAGTTGTGGCTGGTATCAGTAGGGTCCTGGACTCAAACAAAAAGTCTGTAGTACAGATACAGAAGTTGTGACTGGTATCAGTAGGGACTCAAACAAAACGTCTGTAGTACAGATACAGAAGTTGTGGCTGGTATCAGTAGGGTCCTGGACTCAAACAAAAAGTCTGTAGTACAGATACAGAAGTTGTGGCTGGTATCAGTAGGGACTCGAACAAAAAGTCTGTAGTACAGATACAGAAGTTGTGGCTGGTATCAGTAGGGTCTCAAACAAAAAGTCTGTAGTACAGATACAGAAGTTGTGGCTGGTATCAGTAGGGTCTCAAACAAAAAGTCTGTAGTACAGATACAGAAGTTGTGGCTGGTATCAGTAGGGTCCTGGACTCAAACAAAAAGTCTGTAGTACAGATACAGAAGTTGTGGCTGGTATCAGTAGGGTCTCAAACAAAAAGTCTGTAGTACAGATACAGAAGTTGTGGCTGGTATCAGTAGGGTCTCAAACAAAAAGTCTGTAGTACAGATACAGAAGTTGTGGCTGGTATCAGTAGGGTCCTGGACTCAAACAAAAAGTCTGTAGTACAGATACAGAAGTTGTGGCTGGTATCAGTAGGGTCCTGGACTCAAACAAAAAGTCTGTAGTACAGATACAGAAGTTGTGACTGGTATCAGTAGGGACACAAACAAAACTCTGTAGTACAGATACAGAAGTTGTGTCTGGTATCAGTAGGTATCAGTAGGGACTCAAACAAAAAGTCTGTAGTACAGATACAGAAGTTGTGGCTGGTATCAGTAGGGTCTCAAACAAAAAGTCTGTAGTACAGATACAGAAGTTGTGACTGGTATCAGTAGGGTCTCAAACAAAAAGTCTGTAGTACAGATACAGAAGTTGTGGCTGGTATCAGTAGGGTCCTGGACTCAAACAAAAAGTCTGTAGTACAGATACAGAAGTTGTGGCTGGTATCAGTAGGGTCTCAAACAAAAAGTCTGTAGTACAGATACAGAAGTTGTGACTGGTATCAGTAGGGTCTCAAACAAAAAGTCTGTAGTACAGATACAGAAGTTGTGGCTGGTATCAGTAGGGTCCTGGACTCAAACAAAAAGTCTGTAGTACAGATACAGAAGTTGTGGCTGGTATCAGTAGGGTCTCAAACAAAAAGTCTGTAGTACAGATACAGAAGTTGTGGCTGGTATCAGTAGGGTCTCAAACAAAAAGTCTGTAGTACAGATACAGAAGTTGTGGCTGGTATCAGTAGGGTCTCAAACAAAAAGTCTGTAGTACAGATACAGAAGTTGTGGCTGGTATCAGTAGGGTCTCAAACAAAAAGTCTGTAGTATAGATACAGAAGTTGTGGCTGGTATCAGTAGGGACTCAAACAAAAAGTCTGTAGTACAGATACAGAAGTTGTGGCTGGTATCAGTAGGGTCTCAAACAAAAAGTCTGTAGTACAGATACAGAAGTTGTGACTGGTATCAGTAGGGTCTCAAACAAAAAGTCTGTAGTACAGATACAGAAGTTGTGGCTGGTATCAGTAGGGTCTCAAACAAAAAGTCTGTAGTACAGATACAGAAGTTGTGGCTCAAACAAAAAGGTATACAGATACAGAAGTTGTCAAACAAAAAGTCTGGATACAGAAGTTGTGACTCAGTAGGGACACAAACAAAAAGTCTGTAGTACAGATACAGAAGTTGTGGCTGGTATCAGTAGGGTCTCAAACAAAAAGTCTGTAGTACAGATACAGAAGTTGTGGCTGGTATCAGTAGGGTCTCAAACAAAAAGTCTGTAGTACAGATACAGAAGTTGTGGCTGGTATCAGTAGGGTCCTGGACTCAAACAAAAAGTCTGTAGTACAGATACAGAAGTTGTGGCTGGTATCAGTAGGGTCTCAAACAAAAAGTCTGTAGTACAGATACAGAAGTTGTGGCTGGTATCAGTAGGGTCCTGGACTCAAACAAAAAGTCTGTAGTACAGATACAGAAGTTGTGGCTGGTATCAGTAGGGTCTCAAACAGATACAGAAGTTGTGGCTGGTAAAGTCAAACAAAAAGTCTGTAGTACAGATACAGAAGTTGTGGCTGGTATCTCAAACAAAAAGTCTGTAGTACAGATACAGAAGTTGTGGCTGGTATCTCAAACAAAAAGTCTGTAGTACAGAGAAGTTGTACAGAAGTTCTGTAGTACAGATACAGAAGTTGTGGCTGGTATCAGTAGGGTCCTGGACTCAAACAAAAAGTCTGTAGTACAGATACAGAAGTTGTGGCTGGTATCAGTAGGGTCTCAAACAAAAAGTCTGTAGTACAGATACAGAAGTTGTGGCTGGTATCAGTAGGGTCCTGGACTCAAACAAAAAGTCTGTAGTACAGATACAGAAGTTGTGGCTGGTATCAGTAGGGTCTCAAACAAAAAGTCTGTAGTACAGATACAGAAGTTGTGACTGGTATCAGTAGGGACTCAAACAAAAAGTCTGTAGTACAGATACAGAAGTTGTGGCTGGTATCAGTAGGGACTCAAACAAAAAGTCTGTAGTACAGATACAGAAGTTGTGGCTGGTATCAGTAGGGTCTCAAACAAAAAGTCTGTAGTACAGATACAGAAGTGTGTGGCTGGTATCTGTAGTAGATACAGAAGTTGTGGCTGGTATCTCAAACAAAAAGTCTGTAGTACAGATACAGAAGTTGTGGCTGGTATCAGTAGGGTCTCAAACAAAAAGTCTGTAGTACAGATACAGAAGTTGTGGCTGGTATCAGTAGGGTCCTGGACTCAAACAAAAAGTCTGTAGTACAGATACAGAAGTTGTGGCTGGTATCAGTAGGGACACAAACAAAAAGTCTGTAGTACAGATACAGAAGTTGTGACTGGTATCAGTAGGGACTCAAACAAAAAGTCTGTAGTACAGATACAGAAGTTGTGGCTGGTATCAGTAGGGTCTCAAACAAAAAGTCTGTAGTACAGATCTCAAACAAAAAGCCGGTAGTACAGATACAGAAGTTGTGGCTGGTATCAGTAGGGTCTCAAACAAAAAGTCTGTAGTACAGTTGCAAAAAATTGGCAAGTGTATTTATATTGTTTATTTAGAAATTAATCCTCATTTTATACTGATTCTTTCTTATCAAAATATCTAACTCCCATAATAAAAATAGGTGTTACATTAGTAGCAAGATATCACCAGGTAATTGATAAACATGACTACTGATAACTGAGCAAACTTAAATAAAGACAAGGATCACAAATTTATCTCTGATTACTTTTGATTTGATGATCAAACTTATATAAATTTTGAGATTTTATAAACAATATTTTCGTCAAAGACCCTCAAATCCAATATGACACAAATCAATATCAAATAATTTCATATCACATTAAGTAATGTATGTTGTAAAAAGATTTATGGATAAGTACATCAGGTGAACACATTGTAATGGGAATGTTCATGCAGATATTTTTGTACCCCTCAAACACACTTAGAGAATGCTGAATTTGATCTCTCTTTGTATAGGAATACATTTCTCCATTGTTTTTCAAGGCAAACTTCAAAGAAGATCAGCTCCAGACACACAGTTCCTCTAGAGTTATTTATGTAGAACACCTAACACACTATCTCACCAGAGTTAATTAGACAGACCAGATAACACACAGTCTCTCTAGAGTTATCTAGACAGACCTGCTAACACACTGTCTCTCTAGAGTTATCTAGACAGACCAGCTACCACACAGTCTCTCTAGAGTTATCTAGACAGACCTGCTAACACACTGTCTCTCTAGAGTTATCTAGACAGACCAGCTAACACACAGTCTCTCTAGAGTTATCTAGACAGACCTGCTAACACACAGTCTTTCTAGAGTTATCTAGACAGACTTGCTAACACACTGTCTCTCTAGAGTTATCTAGACAGACCTGCTAACACACAGTCTTTCTAGAGTTATCTAGACAGACTTGCTAACACACTGTCTCTCTAGAGTTATCTAGACAGACCAGCTAACACACAGTCTCTCTAGAGTTATCTAGACAGACCAGCTAACAGACTGTCTTTCTAGAGTTATCTAGACAGACCTGTTAATACACTGTCTCTCTAGAGTTATCTAGACAGACCAGCTAACACACAGTCTCTCTAGAGTTATCTAGACAGACCAGCTAACAGACTGTCTTTCTAGAGTTATCTAGACAGACCTGTTAATACACAGTCTCTCTAGAGTTATCTAGACAGACCTGTTAATACACAGTCTCTCTTGAGTTATCTAGACAGACCAGCTAACACACAGTCTTTCTAGAGTTATCTAGACAGACCTGCTAACACACTGTCTCTCTAGAGTTATCTAGACAGACCTGCTAACACACAGTCTTTCTAGAGTTATCTAGACAGACCTGCTAACACACTGTCTCTCTAGAGTTATCTAGACAGACCAGCTAACACACAGTCTCTCTAGAGTTATCTAGACAGACCAGCTAACAGACTGTCTTTCTAGAGTTATCTAGACAGACCTGTTAATACACAGTCTCTCTAGAGTTATCTAGACAGACCTGTTAATACACAGTCTCTCTAGAGTTATCTAGACAGACCTGTTAATACACTGTCTCTCAAGAGTTAACACACTGTCTCTGGACAAATGGAGTAGTCAACACTAAACTGAACAATTTTTGCCATTTTGTAACTTCATCCTATAGATCTTGATACAGTGTATTTACTTTGTACAGTAGTAAAATATTCCAGCTCTACCATCAGACTAATTGTTTGATGGGAAAAATACCTTATCTCATTATGATTATATATCTTTCACAAAACTCTGGAAAATAAGAATAGCAGATTTGACTTCTACAGTGCTAGATGTAGCAGTTTGGCTCCTTGTCCTATGGTATGTAGACGGAACTGATTTCCCTGTCAGCAATTGTGATCTGTTTGTTGTTGTTATCAGTACATTATGTATGACATATCTGATATTTCTCAAGTTGAACATTAAACAGCATTATTACCTGATCACATCCACACAAAAATAATTAAATAGGAGAAAAGTAATTTTAATGATAAACACAAAAAAGTAACCATAACTAATAGTTATGATGAAAATGCAGCAATTTTTGAAAAAGAACAAGCAAAAACAAAAATAAAGAAAAAGAAATGAAGAAAAGAAAATATTATAGCAAAGACATTAATGGGAAACAAAATTAAATTGCATTCAAATATGGACAAGTCCTTATAAGGGCATATCCATAAATCAGTCAATACAAAGATGGTTTTGTTATAGTTCTGATATGGTCATGTATATATATATATATATATATACATGTCCTCATAAGGGTAAATCTGTAAATACATGTAGAACAATAAAAAGAACGGTTCTTTTGGAGTCCATATATCTATACATAGATATATAGCACAAAAATTATGGCTTTATCAACATTCCTTATAAGGACATGCATGTACAAAAATACCCATATAAGGATGGAAAAAAAACTATAATGGGCACATTGTTCATTCACTCGTAAGCACAATTTTCAGAAATATTTTTATAAAACACTCATATAAGTCATATTTCAGATGCACTTTCAACTTTGACAGGTACACCAATGTTTACAATTTGTAGTATACTATGTCAGATAGTAATGTCATATTAAGACAATAACAATGTTTACTAAATTTTTCATTTTATCTAGATACTGTTTTAATATTGTTATTATGCTTAGCTTATTAGTCTCCTAATGTCATTATGTAAAGTTCTGGGAAAAGCTATGTCCATGTTGTAAAACGAAGACCTATAATTTCACAATATTTGATCACACGATCAACTTACGGTCACATGATCAACTGGTGGTCACATGATCAATGGTGATGTAAGTCCACAACATATATTGCATAAGCTATGTATTGGAGAGCAAATGTAAATAAATAAAAAATAGCAATTTTTTACTTAAAGTCCATTTTTGACATATGCTAATTTCCTTCACCCCACTACACATTAGCACATATCCTTAACCAAAGTCTGATACTGGCACTGATTATCCTAATGGGGCTGCAGTGCCTGAGTGGTTAAGATATCTGGCTGTCTTTATCACTAGCCCTCCACCTCTGGGTTTGCCTGAGTGGTTAAGATATCTGGCTGTCTTTATCACTAGCCCTCAACCCCTGGGTTTGCCTGAGAGGTTAAGATGTGTGGCTGTCTTTATCACTAGCCCTCCACCTCTGGGTTTGCCTGAGCGCTTAAGATGTCTGGCTGTCTTTATCACTAGTCCTCCACCTCTGGGTTTGTGGGTGTAAGGCCTACATGGGGCACTTGCTAGGTATTGGCTGTATACATGTCAGTGTTTTTTCTCTGAAATTATGGCTTTCCTCCACCTCTCAAAAGTGGCACGTCCATAAACCAGCCCAGATGTTAATAGGACATCAAGCAACAATAAACAAAACAAACTAAACTGGTTATCTTAACCTTGCTTAACCTTCCTACAGAAAGTCATATCTTCTAATTTGAACTTATAATTACATGTACACACAAAAGTATTTGTTTACATCCTACAAAAAATCTTCACCCGTTCAAAATAGTAATTTTCAACCTATTGACATTTATCCTACAGAAAAATATATAGTCCCGCAAGTCCTCACACATATACCTAGTAACCAATTAATATGAACCTATCACTATAAAAATCTACAGCTGCATACAGCTTGTTTAATTACAATCTACCAGGGGGGTAATTCCCTCCCAGAGTTATAACAAATCTAGCACTTATCAACACCGCCATATATCTCCCACAATACAATCTTATATTACACACAAAAATAATACTGTTGAACGTCAGGTCTCACATACACCAGGTTTAACTATATACAGGGAAACCTCACCTACAATATAATTTCGACAAATATCCCCCTTTTGTCGATAAGTAAAAATAACATGGCGAATAGAGTTTTAAATCAAAGCTGAAATATAAGCTATTATGCTGTTAGAGCAAATTTAACACTGGACAAAGACAAATATTTGAAACATTTGAAATATTTTGATGGAAAGACGAAAATAACCCCTGGTGAGTGTTTCCCTGTACAGACTGTAAACTTTGCACTACATATAACCATCATATACATCAACAGTTATGGATAAAGGATAAATTCACATTCAACGATACACACTTAACTACATGTCTGCATCAACATCCTTCTCATATGCACCCAAGCATTCAAGTTCCTTCAACGTTTTGAACACCTGAAATCAAAATTTCAAAGTTCATCCCGATTCTTAGCTTCAATATTATTGTTGACAAAAGCTTCCAAAGATCCGACATCGCGGGCTCCACTGTACTCTGCCACCATCTCGCCGTCTCTAAACAGTAGTAATGTTGGGTAACCACGAACCTAACAGGAGAAAGTAACCACATGTCATTTATAAGCACATGAACAACGTGTTACTATGTGAATACACTTGTCATAATTTTGTGTATGAAGTGATATACCAGTAATATAACCTACTGTGACAATAAATTCCTTTCTGTTATAAACTGTGCATTGCATGTCGTCTTATATTTGAAAACATTAAATATGTCCTCTGTGGCAATAATATACAAAATTTTCTCCATCATGAGAAATGTATCATTGCTTGGCAAACTTCTGTATAAGTTTTTAAGATCTTGATTGTGAAACCATGAAACCATTTTGTTAAGGAATGAAGCTGTAAGTGTAATATTTTTGAATCGTTTAATGATTTTCTATAATTAGTAACAGTGAACCTGACCTTGACTTTGGAACCCTCATCTACAACCTAAACCAAATCATTGTTTTTGTTGATTTTTCTAATACAACTTCTCAATTCCTTCTATAAATGAAGTTGACAGAATGGTTTTACTTGGCTGTCTCTAAGGTTTCTATATTCTGGGATAAGTATGTGTAGACTACCTGGTGCAATATGTAGTAAATGATATCACACATTAACAAATTCATACCATCACCATGGAGACGATTAAACCAAAATAGCTCCAAGAACAACATAGTAAAAATCAAAGTACTGAAAGTACTGGTATGCTAAGACCATTAAAACAATAAATTCTTTGTTATTAGCTTGCTATATACTGAAAAAAACTATATGCAAGCAGTACATCATTGCAGCCCATAAAAAATGACTAGCAGGTATCAGAAATAACAAGCATAGTAATATAACTTATGTAATAAATGTCCCAAGTAGGCTCCAAGATGATAGGGATGTTGTCCATTTCTTTGGATACATTGTAGGGAATGTTGATCTTGGACACCATATTATCACTTTAAGGACTGCGTATCTTATTGGTTTAAGATCATTAGCTAGACCATCATGCAAATAACATGCTACATACAAATATTGGGCAGCTTCATTTTCCAGATTGTTTGTAAATGACTGCATAAGAGTGCCAATTTTCTAAAACAAACATGATTTGTCACCATAACTTAAAATAGAAGATGCCTATTCTTCTGGAACACCTGGTCTTATTCTCCTTGTACTTTTTCAGGGAATCTTCAAGTAGATATTGTCTTTGTTTCAATTTCACACTTGTTTTGCTGGTTCTACAATTCTGTTGACATGTTTATATATTCTTTGTTCTCTAAAACTTGTCACAAGATATTTTATTCCTCTTGTATTATCATTTTTTAACATCCTTACAGTGACCTTGAACCTTGAAATTTGCAAGATGTGAATATCTTTTACCACCATAAAACGTGAGTCTTTGTCATTGTATTTACAAATTTCGATGTCTGATTATCATTAATACACAACACAAAACGTTTTCTTGATGTACAAGTAATGAAGAAAATGTCAATAAGGTTGTTTCATTTAATGACTAGCATCAGCAACTTGTAGGGGCGATAATCCAATGATTACGGTAATGTCCGGCAGATGGAGTAGGAGTAAACTTTCGATTTATGAACCAATGAAAACGAAGTACTGATACTCAGGGCCAGGGGCGACAGCAACATGCTGAAGAGCATTGAAAATGCTCTTAGCATAAAAACAGATTATTTGCAATAATTTGGAAAAAGACAAAAATGTGATCAAGCATCTCATTTCAAATAAAACTGAAGAATTATATTTGTTTCAAAAGTTCATGTCAAATGAAATGTTCCAGGGAGAAGAGACTAAGGAATGCAAAATAAAAGGACATATAAGGGATAAATAGGGAAGGACAATCATTTTATGTGACAAAACAGTGAGAGAAAGCTGTTGAGAAAGCTGGAGATAAGCTGTGATCATATGAGATAGGGGAGATAAACTGTGATCATATGAGATAGGGGAGATAAGCTGTGATCATATGAGATAGGGGAGATAAGCTGTGATCATGAGATAGGGGAGATAAGCTGTGATCATATGAGATAGGGGAGATAAGCTGTGATCATATGATATACGGGAGGTAAGCTGTGATCATAGGAAATAGGGGAGATAAGCTGTGATCATATGAGATTGGGAGACAAGATGTGATCATATGAGATTGAGTAGGTAAGCGGTGATCATATGAAATTGGGTAGGTAAGCTGTGATCATATGAGATTGGGTAGGTAAGCTGTGATCATATGAGATTGGGTAGGTAAGCTGTGATCATATGAGATTGGGTAGGTAAGCTGTGATCATATGAGATTGGGTAGGTAAGCTGTGATCATATGAGATTGGGTAGGTAAGCTGTGATCATATGAGATTGGGTAGGTAAGCTGTGATCATATGAGATTGGGTAGGTAAGCTGTGATCATATGAGATTGGGTAGGTAAGCTGTGATCATATGAGATTGGGTAGGTAAGCTGTGATCATATGAGATTGGGTAGGTAAGCTGTGATCATATGAGATTGGGTAGGTAAGCTGTGATCATATGAAATTGGGAGACAAGATGTGATCATATGAGATTGAGTAGGTAAGCGGTGATCATATGAAATTGGGTAGGTAAGCTGTGATCATATTTTTCAAACATCACTTGTGTTTATATTATTTTTCTAGTCAGAAATATCAACAGAAAAATCAATGAACCAGAGAACTCTGAAGTTACATAAAACTGGATAAAAATTTACCTTATGAAGTTTACATAGCAGTTTTTCTACTGTACAATCCACCTTTCCCAGTCTAATAAAACTGCTGCCAATAAATTTGGTTGAGAGGTCATCCCAGACAGGGGCTAGTCTTTTACAATGTCCACACCTGTGAAACAATTTCATACAGATACAAAATATGTATAGTATTGGCACTCGTGTAATTAATAAAGCAAACTTTCCAATGACATCAATTTTCAAAACATCCTGTATTTTCTGTGATGCGATAAGGTTTATTTATAAACTTATTTTCTGATTTTCTAGACTTTTCTTTTGAATCCTTCACTCCATGCTAGATGAAGTGCATGTATGTTGAGAGGGAGAGTGTGTCACTCTTATTTTACTTACCATGGTGCGTAGAATTTCACAAAAGTGACTCCATCAGCAACAACTTCTGGGAATGTTTCCTGATCAAGAGGGAAAACAGTTGGCTGCAACAAAATAAAAACCAAACAATGTTTACAACAACATAAAAACCAAACAATGTTTACAACAACAAACAGAGCATAAAAACTGTAAGCAAATTATGAAAGATGAAAAAAAAAATGTTTAAATCATGTTGATGAACCAGTATGAGAATATTTCAATGTGATATATCAGGTACAAGTTATGATAAACTTACACATATTCTTTCTAAAGATTTGGAAATCTTTTTCAGAGTTATTTAGAGAGTAAATAAGAATCAGTAGATAATAATAGTAGTAATAATAAACAAACCTGGTCCAACAGTCAAACTATTTAAATAGGTCTGTCCTTATTTAATAACGAACCTGGTCCAACAGTCAAACTATTTAAATAGGTCTGTCCTTATTTAATAACGAACCTGGTCCAACAGTCAAACTATTTAAATAGGTCTGTCCTTATTTAACAATAAACAACCCTGGTCCAACAGTCAAACTATTTAAATAGGTCTGTCCTTATTTAATAACGAACCTGGTCCAACAGTCAAACTATTTAAATAGGTCTGTCCTTATTTAACAATAAACAACCCTGGTCCAACAGTCAAACTATTTAAATAGGTCTGTCCTTATTTAATAACGAACCTGGTCCAACAGTCAAACTATTTAAATAGGTCTGTCCTTATTTAACAATAAACAACCCTGGTCCAACAGTCAAACTATTTAAATAGGTCTGTCCTTATTTAATAACGAACCTGGTCCAACAGTCAAACTATTTAAATAGGTCTGTCCTTATTTAACAATAAACAACCCTGGTCCAACAGTCAAACTATTTAAATAGGTCTGTCCTTATTTAATAACGAACCTGGTCCAACAGTCAAACTATTTAAATAGGTCTGTCCTTATTTAACAATAAACAACCCTGGTCCAACCAGTCAAACTATCTAAATAGGTCTGTCCTTATTTAACAATAAACAACCCTGGTCCAACCAGTCAAACTATCTAAATAGGTCTGTCCTTATTTAACAATAAACAACCCTGGTCCAACCAGTCAAACTATCTAAATAGGTCTGTCCTTATTTAATAACAAACAACCCTGGTCCAACAGTCAAACTATTTAAACAAGTAAGGTATGACCTACCACAATTTCATCCTCCTGGTCTTTAGGAATATCCTCTGGTATTTTCCCTTCTGTTTCATCACCGCTTTTAATTTCTTTCCCAACCATGCTGATTACAAATTTTTTCAAACTGTCTAAATCTCTTTTTGAATACTCCTGATCTCTCTGTTGATCGAAAAAAGAATAATATGTATAACATAAATTATTCAGACATTTTCTACCGAAAAAAAAAACAAGCAAATAATGAGATGTTACATATATATAGCATGTTAAATTGTCCAGTTTTAATGAAACAATTTAGAAAATTATGTGTCATTTGTCACTGGATTTGCAGGTGGATTTAACACTGTAAAGGCCACTGGTTTAGGGTCCGAATGTATTTCAATTCATAAAAGTTGTACCTCTATATAAAAAACCCAAAATTCCCTGCTCCCTTGAGTGACTTTAATAGACAGGTTTGACTAAAAAAGTTGTTACCATGGAGAGTTCTATTTTAAAGAGAGAATAAAATTGCCAAAGTAATAAAAGTTTCAAGCTGTTAAATCGACTTCATCTTTTGATAAATACTGTACCATCGAAAAAATACCTTTAAAGTTCTAATTTCTCCCTATTGCAACCAATGTCTGCAGGGGAACATGTACCATATCAATATCATTTGTCTTCATTGTAATAACAAGTGATGCTGGTGATCCTGACATTACCTACTGATAACAGCTCATACAGATTTATTAAAAACAAGCTGGCAAGAAAGATCTTTGACAACTTAAGTACACCTTTGTATTCAATGTTTTTTAGCCTCTCTTTGTTTTAGTGGATTAGTGTTTCTGTAATTCAATACTTAATTTGGCAAAATAAAATTTTAGTAGTTTATCCCTTATTGGTGAATTTTTACATTCACAATGTATTAACAATACATAGAAACTGCAGTCAGTGCAATCGTATTTTAGGGCAATACTTCATACTTTCAGCATGAAAAATGTTTAAATAACATGACCCCTAAAATATATGCATTAGCAGTTTCTAAAAATAACATAATTGTTCAAATATATTCACTAATCTAGTTTTGCTGAATGGATTATGGTTTGACCATTATTTGAAAACATTTGAAAGATTTTTGAGAGTTCAATTTGAAATGAAAAATAATTTAAAGATAAGCACCATTGCTGTAAGTTTAACTAAATATCATACATAATTTACTTAATTTGTAAAAAGATTTAGCAATTTATAATCAATTATGTGGTAAACTCCTAACTGATCCATGAGCCTTTGATTCCTCAGTATATCTTCTCTTCTAAAGAAGTATATAGCATTATATAGGGATACAGGTAGTGAACATCACTACCACAGATAAGGATAAATGGTTACCTCTCCATTCCTGAAAAACACAAGTGTTGGATATCCGTGGATATTCTGCTTGTTACATGTTGTTTTGTGAAGTGTGCAGTCAACCTGAAATGTCAAAGGTCAAATACTTGGACTATTTTTCCAATGAAAATACTAAAATTTCAACATGTGTGCTAGATACAAAAGCCAATAATTTAGCAAATAAATCTTACTCTAACTGACATTAAGCCCATGCTTGGTAACAACCCTCAGTAAGCTGAAATTTCAGTCTAAATTCTATAACATAGTGCCACAGTAAACAAATATTCCTGAACTAAATGTTAGATGTTGCCCCCACCCTACCTTCACCCAAGCCTTATTATGATAAATACCACAATGAACATATATGTAGCCTGCTGTTATAAATCTCTTTTCCAAAAAACAAATTAAATTAAGAAAATAATCAAGCTGGGAAATATCAGTAAAATTTGGATACATGATATACAGCTTCACTAAAGTGAACCCATAGCCCAATTATGCAAGTCTATAGCCCCTACCTATAGCCCTTTCTAAACCTCCCAGTTCCCAATGGTGGGGGGGGGGGGGCTAGTAAACCAGACCTTTGCTATTGTTACAGAACTCTCATGTTCAAACTCCTGAGCCAGCAATTCCCATGTTGGAGCAAGTGATTTGCAGTGACCACACCAAGGTGCATAAAACTTCACAAAAGTGTTTCCAGTAGCAATTTCCTTCTCAAAAGTTTCGTCTGTAAGTTCCACGAGAGGACCTAGGGCCTTTTCAGGTTCAATCGGTTTCTGCTTTTCCATCTGCGTACTGTCTTCCTCCTGATAATAGAAAATCATGGAAAATACAATATATTTAATGTACAGATGTGAATTTCCATTTAACGTGATTTGATAATGGAATAAGAATCCAAAATGTTTTAAATGAGAAGTTAGTAATTTAGAGGAAATTTTCTGTTAGTGCTTTTCACACTAAAAGTATTGCCCTAAAATATGATTGCACTAATTGTAGTTTCAATATGCTGCTTATATAGTTATTATTTTAGGTATGTAAATTGATCAGTGCACTAATTTACCAAAAAGTGATTATGCATTGAAATTTGCTTGCAACAAATTAAGTAACTTGTATGTATTCAGGCAGTTATTGTAGAGAACAGACATTTCAACGTCAAGCTTTAAACCATTTTATATCAATAGTACTGTTGTTACGTCAAAATTTTGTTATTTTGTAATCTAAGCCTGATGTCATAATAAGTTATATTACAGAACTGTAATACACAAAAATATGGCACTGAATAACAAGGCAATCATGTAATAAATAGAAGAACACAAGTGTTTCAGGGCCCAGGTATATCACATACTACCCCTTACACTATTATGTCACCTAGTCAGTGGTTTTACAAGAAATTGTTGTCAGCTTTGTCCCTATAGGAATAAAGTGTAGACCATTAGCACGAGATTCTAAAAGCTTATCAAAATGCCTTCAATAGAAAAAAAAAATAGTTCAGCTAATTTTACAGTACATTAAAATGAATACCACAAAACAATCAAAACAACCAAAATAACTTCTGAATACATGTATACATTTTATCAGAATACCTCTATGAAAATTTCATAACAGCGAACATTTTAACTCCCTTTAGGACCACAGCATGTGCACGAATTTCCTGATTTCTAAAAGTACAGCAAATCATAGGCTCCATTTAATCTTTATAAAAAAAAACTTAAAATCCTGACATATCTGAAATATTTGTAAATTCATCTTTACAGTTATAAATGAAGATTACATGTTATATGAATTAGTTATATCTATCATATGAATATACCAGTATGAACTGTTCTTCTATAAAATCCTGGAATTCTCGCAGACCTCTGTTACCACGGAATCGCACTGACTCTAAGCTGGAAGCTCCTTTCTTAAAATATTTTAGAGTTGGATACCCAGTTACGTCCTGATCTGCACACAGAGCTGTCTCCACAGTACAGTCCACCTGGAAATAAATCAACAAAGTTATCTCCCCTTGATTACACAAGGAAACATGAAGGAGATATTCCTTACATTTATGCTGATATCTGACTGTTTGGTTTTGTTATTTCTTTAAATAGTATACAGGTTTCAATGTGAAATATTGATATTGTTGTAACTATCATCAATGATATTTAGAACAAAATCTAATAATCTTCATAATTTGATTTCTGTAAGAACTGGAATTCTATCACAGATATACTTATGATCAACTACCATGTTGTACGTTAGCCCTGATATATTCTACATCTTAATAGACTGCTCACCTTTCCAATGACAAGTTTGGACATTGCAAAGTCTTTGTTAAAAAACTGAGCCAATTCATCCCAGACTGGAGAAAGTCTTTTACAATGGCCACACCTAAAATAAGCAGATTGGAGATGTGGCAGTATGAGCAGTAAATATAGGCACACACTCATCAGTAAACACATGAGATATGGTAAATACCATATTTATACTATTAAAGAACACCTCCACATTATCTGAAAAGATTTTTCCTTGTATGACTTACCATGTGGTACTTCTAACTCCAAAACAAAATAATCCTCCAGACAATCATATAACAAACACAATTTCTATTTACAAAATGTGAACTCAAAAGTCAGAGTCTTGGACTGTAGAACAACTATGGTAGTGAATACTTGGAACTTTCATGTCAAGACTCTGAAGCTGTCTTGGCTCCCATGTATCTGTTTGGTGTTTGGCTAATAGGTCCCCAGCTATAACATTATCCTAAGGCACATATTGTGGTGTTCACTATTAAACAAATACCAATACTTTTTCTGTGTTATTCTCAAAGCCAATCATATGGCCAAATACAAATCTAATTAATCTAGTATTTAAGCATATTCCCATAATTCTCATGGTCAGGTTTATCAAAAAAAAAATAAGATAAAAATGGTTCTATCTTAAAGACAGGCAAAAAGGCCTGAGTACACACTTTGTTCTAGGGTGCCAACTTTGTTCTGCTATAGGGTGCAAACTTTGCCAAAATAAATCATGAAAACTTTTATAATATCACCTGTACCAGAACACAGATAACCAAATCCATTTTAAGAAATACTCCCAAGTTCAGGAAAATCAGCAGACTTGTAAAACTGATTTCGTTTTCTCAAATTTCTTGACTGAAATCAGAAAATTTCTGTCTCTAAAATGATAGTTTAATATTAATATTCACATTTATTATGCTGTTATTGGTATTAACATTTTGATAGACTACCATTTTGGGACATATTTTTGTCAAGTATGTATATGTAGGATTGAACCCAGGACCCCTGGCCTTCTAGTCTGACACTCAACAAATTGAACTAAAAAGGAGTTTTCTCTAGCCAAGCAGTATATTGCGGCAAATATATACCATACATATATATATATAAGGCTTCACTATAGCCAATGAGAGCAATGTGTTAAAGTTGAGTTCCCATCAGCGTCTTGCTAGAAGTATGCCTAGCAAATAACCAACATGGATTTATGCATATATAATCATGCCCTAACATCATGTTGTGGTAACTGTGTTAAATCAGAGTAAACTGTGTGCCTGTGGCATCTATGTTAAATCATAATGTTAAGTGACTACTTACATGTAGGAAAATCCTAATCTCTTCTTTATAAGATAAGGAATTATTTTTTCAATCAATTCTGAACAACTGAATTTTTCTTTCTTTTTCAACCTGGTATTTAGTGTTTAGAAATAATTAATATAAAAATAGTTGATTATCTTATGTATTCCCTAAATTTTACGACAGTCGTTATTTGTTTTACGTACAACTCCTCCACAACTGTGTTCAAGTTACCTTTGCAATCGGGATGATGCTCTTTTTTGGTTAACAATAACTTACTTTCAAACTTTGATAGTACAGACTACTAGTACAGTAGTAAAACTTACCACGGCGCATAAAACATTACAAAATGTCGCATTTTGTCTACTTCAGTTGCAAATGTCTTCGCGGAATAGCTGACTGCGTTAGGAGCATGATCGTCACACGTGACAACGCCCCAAATAAGCAGGAACACAAATACTCCCATGAACTTCATCTTTCTATTTCTATCTGCAGCTGTTGGCAGTGCTGACGATCACCTAATCACCGGATCCGGAAACAGAATTATCGTAACTTACACCTCATTCTTTGTTTCAAAACTACCACAAAAAAACAAAATATATGTCATAGAATTAATATGAAGATATTGTAGTTCATTTTTACCTCCAATTTTTAATAAACCGTGGTACATATTTTGTTTTATATCAATTGGTCAATTTTATACGAAACTAAGTACAGCCTTTCCAACTTCCTCTTCCGCCATCATCGTCTGAAGTAGTACACTGTTCTCAAGAGAGCTAAGGCCAATCCGGCGACGTGTGCTGTGAATTTCGGACATCGAAAGAAAATAAACTTACCAGAACCTTAAGATGGCTTCCAAAGATGAACTTGCATGTGTATATGCCGCCCTTATCCTCGCTGACGATCAAGTAGCCATCACAGTAAGCTTCTCATTATCCCAAACAAACGTGGTCGGGAGGTTGTCCGACATCGTAATAGAGCTGTCATCAAAATGCAGTGACAGTTGTCTATATGTAGTCATCACGACGCGATGATAGTGTTTCATGTGTATTCTGTAAGAGTTTCTCTTAATAATTTAAGAGCATCACGATATATTAAGATTGAATGAATGTATACATATTAGTGTTCTATGGTATGCGTTGTGCAACTACATCATAACGTTAAAATCTTTCGATTATCTGAGATTGAAGTCCTTCGTTCATATGTAACATGTTGTAAAGTTGTTAGATTAATGAGGTCCCAGATCTTTAGTGATGGTTTGTGCCATAACATTTAAAAAAAACGAAATATCTATATGAACATTGTTTTGTTACAGGATGACAAACTTTCAACCATTCTGAAGACTGCCAAGGTGTCAGTTGAACCTTATTGGCCAGGTGAGTACAGAAATTGTAGTATAGTATATTGCTTATATATAATGTCGGTGATTTTTAAGTTGTTATAAAGGCTGTTGCTTTTATATTGAATAACTGACTGGCAATTTTGAACTGTGACAGTTATGGTCTGCACCGACAAAGCAGAACAATTTGGGACAAAGTGATTCAGATTGGTTTTATGAACAAATGTCACATAAGTGTAATGACAATATTGATATAGGAAGGTTCCCAAAAAGGTAATGTCATCATATTATCAACACCATTACAGAATTTCACATAGGCAAGATACAAGAAACTTTATTTCACGTTGAATATTTCAAACAATAAATATAAGCTCTGGTGAGCTTGTTCTTAGACATAACATGATACGAACCAAAATAACATGCAACATAATATTAGCAACAAGCAGCAGAGGATATGTATCACGGTCAATAGCAATTTATACACAGATTATAAACTAAAACTAGTTATCACATTTTATATATCACAGAAATTAAGTAATCAGATGAGACTAAATAGGCTAAGATTGAACACCTGCATATCTGATATACACTGGTATTTCTAGATGCAAAAGAAGTAAAGCACTTTAATGAAAGTGTAATATACATATATGTTAATATAGCGAAAAAATAAAAATTGACAGACTATGCTACTAATATAGTGCCAATTAAAAGAGAACATTTTGTCAATGTCAAGATTATAAATAGTAAGTAAATAAGACAGCAGATTATAAACCAAAGCAAGAAGACAAACAAAAGAAGCAAAAGCACTTAGAGTAAAAAGACTAAAATGAAAATAGACAATAAAAGCACACAGGTAGCAACATCACTGAACAAAGGGAGGAAACTCGCATATGAGCACACACAGAACACTTACAGTCTGGCCCATCCCACATACGGAGCAGTCTCCTGAATTCTTTGTAGTTCTCTACCTTACGCAGATCATTCGGGAGACTGTTCCATATGTGGGACGCCTTGTACCTTAAGGAATTCTTCCCATACCTGGTGGTGTTTATCCTTGGGATGTGCGCCTTACCCTCTGCTATGAAAGTATACAAAGTTTCTGGTTTAGACTGCAAATGTAGTCAGGAGAAATCTTGTTAAAAATTTTAAAAAGCCATCAACTTCATCTTATTAACATGCATTGTTTAGCATGAGAAATCTGTCAAAATATTTTGTGTGGGAGCTGGTCCAAACGGTTCTGAATATCCATAAGTTTATTATTGTCTTGATTGCAGTCAATAGTTTCTTTCCTATATGAAAACACCTAATTCTAGCAACCCCAGTAAGATTCAACTTTCAGGCATTGTTTTATATAGTTTGCAAGAACATGATAGATAGAAATCATATAACAGTTTAAAAGATCAGTCATTTTTCTACTAACATGCATGTGTTAATGCAAGGAAGTGTCGTAAACCATGTATTTCCACTCATTTTTCCAAAAATTTTTACTCTTCAGCATATTTACAATGGCTTCCACCATGCAAAATCTTGCATGATCAAGACTTGTGACTGTAAACTTACAAAAAAAGTTGACAGCAGTGGTAGATAATCACGTAGACAAAAATAAAGTCTCGGATAGTCCGAACCCTTCATACTAGTGTGGGAGGCTGAGGACAGAGTTCTCTGTCTGTTCTCAAAAAGGATTGCTCTAAACAATTTGGTTTTTGGATTTTTTGGTAACATTATTCATAGCTTGATACCAGGACAGACATTTGAAAGATTTTTGCTTGTCAATAAGGAAAATTAAAAAAGATTGCTTATCAGGACATATCATTTATAGTGTTTTTGTTGTAGGCCTCTTTGCCAAGGCCCTGGATGGTGTGAATGTGCGTGATCTCATCACCAACATTTCAAACTCCGCAGGATCAGCTCCTGCTGCTGGGGCTGGTGGTGGTGGTGCTGCCCCAGCTGCCGAGGAGAAGAAGGGTGAGTCAGTGAAGGGAAGCTTAAACCCAAATCTGATGTGTACGGGTTTAAAGTAATTGAACAGATTCTACTCTTCTTTTATGGGAGTATGATAGTGTAGCCGTTGACATGGTCCTTGTCAAAGGTTGTATAATTTAATCTTGACCAAGATTGGTTAGTGTTCCTCAGGAAGCTTGTGATCATGGACCATTTCTTGCTAGGTTGGTTGTATTCATGTCCAATGCACATTACAGCTCTTGGGGCTCTCAATCTGCCAAATTTGGGGCTGTGCAAAATAGTATCCTTTTTTTTCCCAATTTAGACCCCAAGTTTTCCCAATTCTAAGAAAAACGCTGCTATTTTTCCCAATTCTAAGGGCCCCGGGCCCCAGTCCCAAAATGGGGTGTGAGAGCCCTGCCTCTAGATAGTATATTTCATTTGCTATTCAGTGAGGAAACTCCAAGTTGCTGCATGGAAAACCTGTCCCAAAATCGCTACAATTATTCATGGGCCAATATAACAAAGCAAATAGACCTTGAGCAATGGTTATGTGTACTGTAAAAATCCACATAATATGTGCAGTTCCTTTATTAGAAAATAAATGTCCAAAGTGGCAAGTAGAAGCATTTTATACCATTTTCACCCTCAGAAAGAACCTGCACAAATTGCGTAGGTTGTTGTGTTACTTTAATGTATTAATTCTCCTATTGAACAATGTTATGAAACCACTGTTCTCACCAGTTAAGTTTTTCTTGTTCCCCATGTATAACCAAAGCAAATTAACTTGTAATACAAGTTTATTATACCCCAACAATGAAGTTGGCATCTACTGGAATCGCCCTATCTGGATATCATTTGCAAATTTTGTCCAGAGAACTTTTCTTAACTGGTGAACAGATTCTGAAGAAACTTCTATCAATACAAAGAATCGTGTGTAGATGTGCATGCAATTTGTTTCCCCCTAAATTATGGCTGCCAACAGGTTTTAATTTTCTTACTTGACTTTGGTTTAATGGTAGAATTAATTAAAACATTTAAGGTGTTTCAGAAACAGTTGCTATGGCAACACAATCCTGGCCTCTGATATGTTAAAATTTTTCATATATCATTATGACCAAATCTGTATGTAGGGGTATAAAGGGATGCCAAACATCAGTGTGTTTCATGGTCATGGCAACCATGCTAAGACTAATGGTAGCCTCTGAAATTCAGTGGAAATTTAGATATTTTGCTGTTTTTACCTAACTTTGTATATAGAGGTATTTGGGAATGCTGAAGTTAATTTTCAACTATATTGACTTATCATGGATTTTTGACCAAATTTAGTGCGTGCACATGTGTGTTTCTATATAAATATTTATTGGTCTATGCATCTGCAAGGGTATTGGCATTCCTCAGGATAACTGTTCTTGAGACACATGAAATGTAAATGTGAGATCAACATAACATGTAACAATTTGTAAGTTTATTCAAAAATTAAACTCTGTCTGGGTTAATGATTGGTTGTGAGAGGAAGATTAAAAATGTGATCTTGCTTTTACAGAGGAAAAGAAAGAGGAAAAGAAGGAAGAATCAGAAGAGTCAGATGACGATATGGGCTTCGGTAAGTTGGTTATTCAACTAACTCCTGAACCAACAACAGGTTCCTGTAAAATCTCCTTTTCCCGTAATAAGCCCCTGTCTGGTTTACACGGGCCCACTCATATTACTGTAATCCAGACCTTTTTAAAGGCTTTTTTTGGAGTGCTGATTATCGTCCCCATTCTCAATTGAAATTATTTTCAGAATTCACAATTTACTGGTAGAAATTTGATTCTGAATTCCCCAAATTTCTTCCCAAAATGATTCAAATTTTGGGAAATGGATGCAAAGTGAAATTGGAAACTTTACATGGAAATTAGAAGTAGGTATACATCTTGAAGGAAGAAACATTGTCAGCAATACAATTAAAACTTATTTTGTCCATTTGTTTTTTTCAGGTCTGTTTGACTAAGAAGATGGAACTTCGGTTTTATTTTGTACTTTTACTGTTACATTAAAATGCAAGAGCCATCTACCTTTGACTTTGATGGTTTTCATTATATCACCAGCTTTCCATGACCTACAAATTCACTTTGTCTGCTCTAACTCCAACAGACTGATGAAAGTAAACCTGCTAGGTTGAAAATGTTTTCCAACTGGTATGAAAACCAAAGGTCACTAGTTGTAAAAATAGAAATTTGGTTTCTGAATGACAACTTCAGAGTTCTCTTGACTGTACATACATTATAGTTAATGATCTGTAGACCAATTACATGTGGTTTTTAGGTCCCCTGAGTCAAAGGCTCATGGTGACCTATTGCCATCATGGTTTGTCTGTGGTCGTTAGCTTTTCACATATTCGACTTCTTCTCAAGAACCACTAAATGGATTTTTACCAAACTTGGCACAAAGCATCCCTATGGGAAGTTGCTTCAAGATTGCGAAGAAAAAGGGTGTGGCCCCAATAGGGGCCGCAGGAGGGGGGTAAAATTAGGCAAATATTTAAAAATCTTCTTCTCATGAACCAACAGTCAGATTAAATTCATATTTGATATTTAGGGTCCTTATGGCAAAGTCTACAATGTTTGCGAATGAAAAAAAAATCAGATCAAAAAAGGTGCTCAAAAGGGTCAAAAATTCAACTTTGACTGATTTCAACCAAATTTGGTAGACAGCATCCCTTAGTGAAGGACATATGAAAGTATGTTGAAGAAATTGATAATGTCCCCTTTGGGGCCCATAAGGGGTGTAAAAGGGGCCATATGTAAAAACCTTCATTAAATGACGACTACTCAAGAACCAGTGGATGGATTTTGACCAAACTTGGCGGGAAGTCGCTTCATGTTTGCGAAGAAAAAGGGTGTGGCCCCAATAGGGGCCCCAGGAGGGGAAAAAGGGGAAACTTTGTACGAATGCTCTACACATGGTCCTGGCAAGTGTTTTAACCATTTGGGGCAATTCAAAATCCAAGATGGCCACCCTGGCCTCTGTTTGGCTAAGACATTATGGACTTCTCTCAAGAACCATTGGGTGGGTCATGTTCAAACTTGGTACAGAC